TCTTATGTGTAAATCACCCTGTGCCTGTTAGGGGTACAGGGTGATCTGTCCTAATATTGGGGTGGTGGGGGTTGTTGCTGATGGTTTGGTGTTATGTGTTGCATCCCATTGTTTTTTATGTGCGTCTTGCTTGGGAGCAAACTATTATGGGATGTATGTGTTATGTGTATTGGCTTGGTGGGGGGTCCTCCAGCAGCCCTCCCTCCAGTGGGGACTGTCTGCTGGTGTATCTCTTGTTACTGAATGGGGTTGCCCTGCCCTGTGTCATTATGCAGGGAGGGGGGATTGCCCCCCTGAGTCTTGTATCTTGTATTTGTGTTCAAATAAAAGCTAGTCTACCTTCTGGATTACTTCAAGATTGGTGTCGTCTGGTCTTGTATGGTCTGCTATGGTGTCTGTTGTTGGTGTTCGGACAGGGAAGCGATAGTCTAACGGAAGTACCCAAGTGCAGTCTGGGGTAGGGGTCCGTTACAACATCCATTACACAGAACATGTCAGTATGACATTTTTGTTATTTTTTTTTTAATAAAATGGTGCCCCTTTTCAATCAGTTTAGGAATAAATCACCTCTAATGTTGCTTGTCCTATGTGTATGAATATTGCTGTGATTAGCTCAGCAGAATTTTTAAAGGGGTGCCTTGACTGAAAAAGTGTTGAGAAACACCGCTGTAGAAATTCTCATGGCAGGGATGCCCTGTCCTCTTCCTGCTGTTGAAATTCTGGCACTGTGGGGGTTTACAGCTTTGGTTCTCTTGGCTCAGCTGCACTAAAGGTGATTTGATGGGGACCCTCCCCCTTCTCCCCTCTCCACTGCCTGTAACACGATCTGTGAATGTGGGAGGGTATCATGTGACTGTTCAGACCCGCCTCCATTCGCAGATTATGTAATCTGTAAATTTTATTTATTATATAAAATAACTTTTCTCATTGGAAGAGAGGGCAGGAGGGGGTGTGTCCCCATTGGTTCATCCTTAGTGAAGCTGAGCCTAGAGACTTGAAGCTGTTAACCCCTGCAGAGTCGGAAGTTCAGCAGCAGGAAGAGGACAGGGCAGCCCTGTAATGCAGATTTTCTACAGAATCCAGCAGCCTGCACATGGTGGGGACACACTTCATTACAGGTAAGTGGCGTAACTAAAGTTGTTTGTGGGAAAAAAAAAACATTTTTTTTTTTTTTTTTTTTTAAATTAAACTCCATCTTCAAGCCCTTTACAGTTGTCTCGGTGATGTTCATCTTTACCCTACACAGAAGTTCAGTTTTTTGGTAAATGTCCAGAGAGCTCTCCCGATTTTTTTTCATTGTCCGTTTGTGTGTAGATAGAAGCTGACGCTTGAAGAGGCTCTTTACCGCCAATAATTTCCATGTCTTTGTCTCTTTCAGCAACTGTACAGGAAGAAGCCCGGGATGACAATGTTGTGTGCCAAATTACCTCAGAACATCTGTAAGAATCGATACAGAGACATTTCGCCTTGTAAGTTACCATGGATTGTGTGCATGTGATACTACTGAACAAAAGCAAACCAGGGCGCACTCTCATCGTGCGTTACCGCGGTACACCAACGTGTTTATTATGCACAGAAATCTAAAAAGATTATATTTATAACCAAACCAAAGGAGAATAAAAGCAGAATTAGTAGTCCGCATTGGCAGTCAATACAATGCTGTGCCCTAATTAGGGATAAGTTGACGCGTTTCGGTAGACGAATGAGCTCTGAAGAAGGGGGGTTTGTCTCCCGAAACGCGTGCAAACGCTTGGTACACCAACGTGTTTATTATGTAATCTAAAAAGATATATATTCGCAAACCAAAGGAGATTAAAAGCAGAATTAGTAGTCCGCAATGGCAGTCAATGCAATGCTGTGCCCTAATTAGGGATAAGCTGACGCGTTTCGGTAGACGAATGAGCTCTGAAGAAGGGGTTTGTCTCCCGAAAACGCTTGCAAACGCTTGGTACACCAACGTGTTTATTATGTAATCAAAAAAAGATATATATTCACAAACCAAAGGAGATTAAAAGCAGAATTAGTAGTCCGCAATGGCAGTCAATACAATGCTGTGCCCTAATTAGGGATTAGACTGACGCGCGTTTCGGGAGACGAATGAGCTCTGAAGAAGGGGGTTTGTCTCCCTAAAGCTTGCAAACGCTTGGTACACCAACGTGTTTATTATGTAATCAAAAAGATATATATTCACAAACCAAAGGAGAATAAAAGCAGAATTAGTAGTCCACAATGGCAGTCAATACAATGCTGTGCCCTAATTAGGGATAGCTGACGCGTTTCGGGAGACGAATGAGCTCTAAAGAAGGGGGAAATAAACAATAAATAATGGTGCAGCGCTGAATAAATACTAAATCAATATAAAATCAATTAAAATCCATAGATTGATATACTTTAGTAAAAAAACAGGTGTATCAATAATTAGTGCTCACACATATAATCAAAAAATATTAACCCCAACACTAGGATCATATTAAGTGAATAACATAATTCGTGCATGTGTATAAAACACTCTGTGAAATAATTCAATCTATATATATATATATACCGTGCTCCACAGCAATAACTCGCGTGTAAATATTGTGAATCCAGTGCCCACAGCTCGTGAATCCAAAACCTTCCGAAGTGGCCCCTCACCTCCCAATAGTGACCACAAAGGCCAGTTTGCTTTTGGGTAAGTAACTCTTTCCCAGGAACAATCTCGTCACCTCCAGATGGACCCTCCTGGATATCCACAGGCCTTTATCCTCCTGAGTACTCCACTCCCATGGTACTTGTATCAGTAGTTCACCTTACAGCCAAACATCAAAGATAGAGTGTTGTTGGTACATGCAACTTTGCAGTGGCAAATCATTGGTGTAAAGTAGGCTGAATTGTAACACCGGGGGACATTCCATTTACAGCCGGAGCAGCGCCATCCTTCCTAGTCACCCATCCAGGTCACAGGGGAACGCCAGCTAGCAACATATGCCATTCACAAGTAAGGCAGCTTCTGTTATTGGCAAGGGATGAGCTCTGAAGAAGGGGGATTGTCTCCCGAAACGCATTGAAACGCTTGGTACACCAACGTGTTTATTATGTAATCTAAAAAGATATATATTCACAAACCAAAGGAGATTAAAAGCAGAATTAGTAGTTCGCAATGGCAGTCAATACAATGCTGTGCCCTAATTAGGGATAATCCGGCGCGTTTCGGGAGACAAACCCCCTTCTTCAGAGCTCATTCGGCTCCCCGAAACGCGTCAGTATTATCCATAATTAAAGCACAGCATTGTATTGACTGCCATTGCGGACTTCTGATTCTGCTTTTAATCTCCTTTGGTTTGTGAGTAAATATCTTTTTGATTACATAATAAACACGTTGGTGTACCACGGTAATGCATGATGAGAGTGCGCCCTTGTTTGCTTTTGTTCATCAGTATCCATATTTCCCGATCTTTGAAGGGCTGCAGCTCCCCGTTTCTGAATTCCTTCTAGTCTGCATGAAGATTTGAGTGCTGGTTTCGTTTGTTTTTGGACTGCATGTGATACTATGCTAAGACTCTGCAGGTTTTCCTCTGCGGTGGGACTACAAGTTCCAGCATGCACTACCAGCCATCACTGGCAGTGCACCCTGAGGTATTTGCTTCCGCAACAGCTGAAGAGCTGCAGATTGCTCAAGCCTCCTACGGAGGTGATGCCAGTGTAGGTGGGGGGGCGCCGTTTTAGCCCATCTCATGGGCAGTACTCACAACGTAGAAAGACATTTTCCAAGCTTCCAGTCAGCTGAGAAATAAATCAACAGCTAATGGCTTCCTTTGACCAGCTGTGCTTAAAAAATGAACTTTGGGGAGGGGGGGGTTAAAGTTTCAGTCCACCAATTGGAAAACGTCGTAAATGCATCAACATTAATTTAATAAAAAATGTGTTTTTACTAAGTTTTAGCCTTGAGACCCCCAGAGCATTGCAGTCAGTGCATTAGGATCCATCAGTGTTTACCTCCAGACTCAGATCTGTATGAAGTTACACACCTAGCTAGAGCAAGTCCTGCTGAACTGCAGAGTGGCGATGGAAAAGGGATCGCCAGCGTGTTCTCTACAAGTCCCATGTGCTGCAGAGGTAGGTGGGACTTGTATTCCGCCCCCCACATGGCCAGTTTAGATTATCCAGCCTTGTTAAAGGGTTACTTCACCTTTACAGAAAAAATGTAACGGTGACGTGACACCCTCCCCCGACCCTCTGGTCCCCACTGTACTTACCTCCAGAGTTTCCTGAGCTGTCAACACCCCTGTAGCCAGTCCATCAGTAAGAATTGATATGGTTCATCCTGGAGATGCTGAGGGAGAAGAATTGGGGTTTACAATCCCCTAACTGGGTGCGGGGGTGCTGATGACTTAGCAACTGTAGAGGTAAGTACAGTGGGGACCAGGGTGGGGGGAATCTTGCCCAGTGTTCACCTTTTACATTCAAAGGTGAACTAACCCTTTAAAGTAAAAAAAGAAAAAAATACAGATGAATGTACAAGGTGCACCCCATGATTCAGAGCAGAGTGGTAGATTGGGTTAAGGCAGGTAATTGTTACTGAACCCCAGACCCTGCATTCACTATATCCGCTCTCCCCGGACCCTGCATTCACTATATCCGCTCTCCCCCGGACCCTGCATTCACTATATCCCCGACCCTGCTCTCCCCGGACCCTGCATTCACTATATCCACTCTCCCCGGATTCACTATATCCGCTCTCCCGGACCCGCATTCACTATATCTGGTCCCCGGACCCTGCATTCACTATATCTGGTCTCCGACCCCACATTCACTATATATCTCTCCCCGGGCATTCCCTATATGCATTGCATTTCACTATATCCGCTCTCCCCCCTGCATTCACCCGCTCTCCCCGGATTGCATTCACTATATCTGGTCTCCCCGGACCCCGCATTCACTATATCTGGTCTCCCCGGACCCCGCATTCACTATATCTGGTCTCCCGGACCCGGCATTTCACTATATCTGGTCTCCCGGACCCGCATTCACTATATATCCGCTCTCCCTCCCCGGACCCCACATTCACTATATCTGCTCTCCCCGGACCCCCGCATTCACTATATATCCGTTCTCCCCGGACCCTGCATTCACTATATCCGCTCTCCCCGGACCTTGCATTCACTATATCCGCTCTCCCCGGACCCTGCATTCACTATATCCGCTCTCCCCGGACCCTGCATTCACTATATCTGGTCTCCCAGGACCCCGCATCTCACTATCACTATCTGGTCTCCCCGGACCCCGCATTCACTATATCTGGTCTGCATTCACTATATCCCTCCCCCCCGGTCTCCCCGGACCCATTTCACTATATCCGCTCCCCGGACCCCCTGCATTCACTATATCTGGTCTCCCCCCGGTCTCCCCGGACCCCGCATTCACTATATCTGGTCTCCCCGGACCCCGCATTCACTATATCCGCTCTCCCCGGACCCCACATTCACTATATCTGCTCTCCCCGGACCCCGCATTCACTATATCCGTTCTCCCCGGACCCCGCATTCACTATATCCGCTCTCTCCCCAGACCCCGCATTCACTATATCCGTTCTCCCGTTCACTCTCCCCCGGACCCCGCATTCACTATATCCGCTCTCCCCGGACCCCGCATTCACTATATCCGCTCTCCCCGGACCCTGCATTCACTATATCCGGTCTCCCCGGACCCTGCATTCACTATATCCGCTCTCCCCAGACCCTGCATTCACTATATCTGGTCTCCCCGGACCCCGCATTCACTATGTCCAGTCTCCCTGGACCCTGCATTCACTATATATCCGCTCTCCCCCGGACCCCGCATTCACTATATCCGGTCTCCCGGACCCTGCATTCACTATATCCGCTCTTCACTATATGCCGGTCTCCTCGGACCCTGCATTCACTATATCCGGTCTCCCCGGACCTTGCATTCACTATATCCGGTCTCCCCGTACCCTGCATTCACTATATCATTTTACACAATTCAGAGGATTAGTTCTAATGGCACGCTGCCCACACTGGGAAACGCAACTGTACTGGGAACCGAGGCTGTGTTTTCCAAAGTAGTGCAGGGACTTCTTTCCCTGCGTGTCACAGCCACGGGAGTCCATTCAAATGAATGGGCTCTCATGCCTGAGCAAAATGCGGCCCGCACAGCCGCATATGTGTGAACCTAGGGTAAAGGAATGCAAACCCTGCCTCTTTCCTCATTAGAACCCTGCAGGTGCATCAGCTGATTGACAATTATAAAGTCACTTATTCACTCCGCACATGGACACAGACAGACAAACCGTTGTTTCTTCAGAATCACAAAAGTTAGGAATCTGCAACAAAGTTTGGTAAAATCCCTGCAATGTGCATACATCACCCGGAAGGGAAGGCCTTTTCTTAGTAAAAGTGGAGTTACTCTTTAAGGTCAGCCTGGCCTAATAAAAATGATCTCTAGTTTTTTTGGGATGGTTCGCTGTGCACGTTGACCACGGACTTATCGAACAAGAACAATTAAATCATGTATGTCTGTATCTGATCAGATCATCTCTGCAGCTTGTCTTCTGCTCAGGTTCTGTCCGTCATCCATTCCCTTCTCCCCCTCCGTCTGTCATTCCCTCTTCCCCTGTTCCTCCTTCCTGAACATCCTGCTCTGTCCGCCCATCCCTCTTCACTTTTTCCTCTGCGTTACTCCTCTCTTTAATTTTCCATTCAATCCCTCCCAACCCACAGAAGAGAACAGGTTATTTATTATTCTTTCTTTTCTGAGGCAGTATCACGGGCAGAGGGGCAATATCAGTGAAGGAGTATCTGAGAGAGAAATGTTCACTACTGGAGCTTAAGACATTTTTGCAGTTTAACCCCTCGCCTACCGGGCACTTCTACCCCTTTCCTGCCTACCGTCCACTTCTACCCCCTTCCTGCCTACCGGGCACTTCTACCCCCTTCCTGCCTACTGGGCACTTCTACCCCCTTCCTGCCTACAGGGCACTTCTACCCCCTTCCTGCCTACAGGGCACTTCTACCCCCTTCCTGCCTACCGGCCACTTCTACCCCCTTCCTGCCTACCGGCCACTTCTACCCCCTTCCTGCCTACCGGGCACTTCTACCCCCTTCCTGCCTACCGGGCACTTCTACCCCCTTCCTGCCTACAGGGCACTTCTACCCCCTTCCTGCCTACAGGGCACTTCTACCCCCTTCCTGCCTACAGGGCACTTCTACCCCCTTCCTGCCTACCGGGCACTTCTACCCCCTTCCTGCCTACAGGGCACTTCTACCCCCTTCCTGCCTACAGGGCACTTCTACCCCCTTCCTGCCTACAGGGCACTTCTACCCCCTTCCTGCCTACAGGGCACTTCTACCCCCTTCCTGCCTACAGGACACTTCTACCCCCTTCCTGCCTACCGGGCACTTCTACCCCCTTCCTGTCTACCGGGCACTTCTACCCCCCTTCCTGCCTACAGGGCACTTCTACCCCCTTCCTGCCTACAGGGCACTTCTACCCCCTTCCTGCCTACCGGGCACTTCTACCCCCTTCCTGCCTACAGGACACTTCTACCCCCTTCCTGCCTACCGGGCACTTCTACCCCCTTCCTGCCTACAGGGCACTTCTACCCCCTTCCTGCCCAGGCAAATTTTCAGCTTTTCAGCGCTGTCACACTTTGAATGACAATTGCGCGGTCATGCAACACTGTTACCCATATGAAATTTTTATAATTTTTTTGAGACAGATAGAGCTCTCTTTTGGTGGTATTTAATCACCTCGGGGTTTTTTTATTTTTTTGCTAAACAAACCAAAAACAACTGAAAATTTTGAAAAAAAGAAAGTTTTTTCTTAGTTTTGTTATAAAATTTTGTAAATAAGTGATTTTTCTCCTTAGTTTTTATTTTTTTGCTAAACAAACCAAAAACAACTGAAAATTTTGAAAAAAAAAAAGTTTTTTCTTAGTTTTTGTTATGAAATTTTGTAAAATAAGTGATTTTTTTTCTCCTTCACTGATGTGTGCTAATGAGGCTGCAGTGATGGGCACTGATAGGCTGCACTGATGGACACTGATAGGTGGCACTGATGAGGAGGCACTGATAGGTAGCACCGATGGGCATTGACAGGCATCACTGATGGGCACTGAAAGGCAGCACTCATATATGGCACTGATAGGCGGCACTGATGCTCACTGATAGGCGGCACTGATGCTCACTGATAGGCAGCACTGATAGGTGGCACTGACTGGCATTGATAGGTGGCACTGACTAGTGACACTGAAAGGCAGCTCAGATGGTCACTGATGTGGCAATGATGTGCACTGGTAGGCACTGATATGTGCATTGATGGGCACTGACACTGGCACTGATGGACACTGACAAGCTGGCACTGCTGGGGCTACACTGATCATCAGGGCACACTGATTGGACACAGCTGATCACATGACCGAGCCAACATCTTCAGTTCTTTCCATTGATCGGTGATGCACACAGCGCACCACCAATCGCTGCACTGCACGCCCCCGGAGCCGCATGCACGGTTAGAGTGGGAGGGCGTCATATGACATCCTCCCAGAACGATAGAACCGCCTTGCGCCCGTCTTTACCTTATATGGCGGGCGGGAGGCGGTTAAAGGATCTGTTCACCTTTGGGAACATCTTACATGTTCCACCCGTTTTTAGGGTGGAACATGTAACATGCTCCCAGTGCTGCACTGCTGCAAAGCTGTCCCCGTAAAAGTTGTCATTCTTGTGTGGCCGTGTGGGCGGGGCATTGTTCATTCTGTGAATGAATGAATGAACTACAAGCCCCGACAGCCTTAGCAGCTTTCAGCTTCTAGTTGTCAGTGAACTACCAGGGTGCTGTGGAGCGCTGTGGTAGTTCATTGAATCTTCTTGTCAGTACACCCCGTATGGGCAAGCAGATATACTGACAGATCTGTAGGAGACCTGCATGGCACCAGCGATCTGCTGATCACCGCTCTACTGCTTTACAGCTCCTTTTGGACAAAAATAATAAATGCACTTTTTTTTTTTTACCTGCAAAAAATGTGCTTTTATTATTTTTGGTCAAAGGGTGAAATTATCCTTTAATGGTTCAGTATACTCTGAAATTAGGAGATTTATTAGCTTTAGTTTTTTTTTCTCATAAAAATAAAAAAATATATATTTTACTGCTTTTATTACAGATCTTATTTTGGACCTAGTGATGTCATCCTTTGGTATCTGTGCTTCTCTATTCAATGCAGGCAGAACATGGCTGGTGGGCGGGGCCAGCAGGATGGTGTACATAGCTTCCTGAAAACATCACACCCTGTCAAAGTACTCCTCTCCAGAGCCCTCAGTCCTGATGTAAGCAGTGGGCTGGCTCTTGGGAGGAATTATGCAAATATCAAAATGCCCTGATGGGGGTGGATGTCAGCCTGGAGGAGTGGGTATTTCTAGGCAGACTATATTTTGCATGCTGTCCCCTCCCACCAGCCATTATCAGGCTGCAGTGCATAGCGAAGCACATAGACCCAGTCATGATATCTCTGGTTGTAAAATAAGATGTGTAGTAAAAAACAGATTTTATTTAAGCATTTCGTTAGCATATTGATATGAGGGGGCAGGAAAGCAAATCTATACAGTAAATGAATGAAACTTCACTTTTAACACGATCTGGGTTTTATTCGGTTTAATTTCTTTTGCTGGTTGAGGGCCACAAAGAAGGAGTAACAGTTCCCCGAGTGTTTGATGGCCATGTTCAGTCCTTTCCGGAGATCTGTGTTTGTGCACAGACTTCTTTCATCCATTAATGATTAGCTTTGCCTTCTCTTCTCTCTGTAGTGTCGGATGGATGTCTGTTTGTGTTTTGATCTCTCCTCCTGTGCTGAACTCGGCTCGTATCAATATTTCCCTCTCCTCTGTGCACAGAACATGAACACCTTCCACCAGTAATCTGACTGTCTTCTACCTTCTCTTGTCTCTGCAGATGATGCTACACGAGTTATATTACTTGTTGGGGACGATTACATCAATGCAAATTATATTAACGTGAGTACCACTGCTGGTGATCCTCGGAGGAAAGGGTCAGCTTTAGAGAATGACAACAGCATATACCGTGGCCCTCTACAGAGTAGGAATGGTAGGGGCATGACAGAGACTGCGTAGCTTCCTCTAGACCAGCAATGGGCAAACTACGGCCCGGCGGACCTTTTAATCCGGCCCGCGGAGCTAGGCTCCCCTCACAGTCCGCCCTGAACACCGGTGTAGCATGAAAATCTGTCTCCTATGAGGATCTGTCCCCCTCGACGTATCTGCGCATGTGCCGGAGATCGCCGATCGGCTGCTAATGACTGAAACTGGCACATGCGCAGATACGTCGAGGGGGACAGATCCTCATAGGAGACAGATTTTCATGCTACACCGGAACGGCGCGGGACACGGCGAGAGGAACGCGCGGAGCAAAGGTAAGTGAATTGACACGGGGGACTTGGGGACTTAATATGGGGAATGAATTACTATATGGGGGATGAATTACTATGGGGGATGAATTACTATATGGGGGATGAATTACTATGGGGGATGAATTACTATATGGGGGATGAATTACTATATGGGGGATGAATTACTATATGGGGGATGAATTACTATATGGGGGATGAATTACTATATGGGGGATGAATTACTATATGGGGGATGAATTACTATATGGGGGATGAATTACTATATGGGGGATGAATTACTATGGGGGATGAATTACTATGGGGGATGAATTACTATGGGGGATGAATTACTATGGGGGATGAATTACTATGGGGGATGAATTACTATATGGGGGATGAATTACTATATTACTATATGGGGGATGAATTACTATATGGGGGATGAATTACTATATGGGGGATGAATTACTATATGGGGGATGAATTACTATATGGGGGGATGGGGGATGAATTACTATATGGGGGGATGAATTACTATAGGGGGGATGAATTACTATGGGGGATGAATTACTATATGGGGGATGAATTACTATGGGGGATGAATTACTATGGGGGATGAATTACTATATGGGGGATGAATTACTATATGGGGGATGAATTACTATATGGGGGATGAATTACTATATGGGGGATGAATTACTATATGGGGGGATGAATTACTATGGGGGATGAATTACTATATGGGGGATGAATTACTATGGGGGATGAATTACTATGGGGGAATTACTATATGGGGGATGAATTACTATATGGGGGATTAATTACTATGCTTACTATGGGGGGGAATATTACTATACTTACTATGGATGACACATACACATAATTTATCTACTCTTGGTCCGGCCCCCGGGTCCAATATATGAACCCATTGTGGCCCTCAAGTCAAAATGTTTGCCCACCCCTGCTCTAGACTCTAGGGTCCTGAGGCACCCTTTAAAATTATGGACGGTCCCGAAGCACCCTTTAAAATTATTGATTTTCCAGAGGCACCCTTTAAAATTATGGACAGTCTTGAGGCACCCTTTAAAATTATGGACAGTCCCGAGGCACCCTTTAAAATTATGGACAGTCCTGAAGCACCCTTTAAAATTATGGACAGTCCTGAGGCACCCTTTAAAATTATGGACAGTCCCGAGGCACCCTTTAAATTATTGATTTTCCAGAGGTACCCTTTAAAATTATGGACAGTCCTGAAGCACCCTTTAAAATTATTGATTTTCCAGAACTCTTTAAAATTATGGACAGTCCTTGAGGCACCCTTTAAAATTATGGACAGTCCCGAGGCACCCTTTATAATTATGGATTTCCCAGAGGCACCCTTTAAAATTATGGACGGTCCCCGAAGCACCCTTTAAAATTATGGACAGTCCCGAGGCACCCTTTAAAATTATGGACAGTCCCGAGGCACCCTTTAAAATTATGGACAGTCCCGAGGCACCCTTTATAATTATGGACGGTCCCGAGGCACCCTTTATAATTATGGACGGTCCCGAGGCACCCTTTAAAATTATGGACGGTCCCGAGGCACCCTTTAAAATTATGGACGGCCCCGAGGCACCCTTTAAAATTATGGACGGGCCCCGAGGCACCCTTTAAAATTATGGACGGTCCCGAGGCACCCTTTAAAATTATGGACGGTCCCGAGGCACCCTTTAAAATTATGGACGGTCCCGAGGCACCCTTTAAAATTATGGACGGTCCCGAGGCACCCTTTAAAATTATGGACGGTCCCGAGGCACCCTTTAAAAGTATGGACGGTCCCGAGGCACCCTTTAAAATTATGGACGGTCCCGAGGCACCCTTTAAAATTATGGACGGTCCCGAGGCACCCTTTAAAATTATGGACGGTCCCGAGGCACCCTTTAAAATTATGGACGGTCCCGAGGCACCCTTTAAAATTATGGACGGTCCCGAGGCACCCTTTAAAATTATGGACGGTCCCGAGGCACCCTTTAAAATTATGGACGGTCCCGAGGCACCCTTTAAAATTATGGACGGTCCCGAGGCACCCTTTAAAATTATGGACGGTCCCGAGGCACCCTTTAAAATTATGGACGGTCCCGAGGCACCCTTTAAAATTATCAACAGTCCCGAGGAACCCTTTAAAATTATCAACAGTCCCGAGGCACCCTTTAAAATTATCAACAGTCCCGAGGAACCCTTTAAAATTATCAACAGTCCCGAGGAACCCTTTAAAATTATCAACAGTCATGAGGCACCCTTTAAAATTATGGATTTTCCCGAGGCACCCTTTAAAATTATCGATAGTCTTGAGGCACCCTTTAAAATTATGGACAGTCCAGAGGCACCCTTTCAAATTATGGATTTTCCAAGGCGCCCTTTAAAATTATCGACAGTCTTGAGGCACCCTTTAAAATTATCGACAGTCTTGATGGCACCCTTTAAAATTATCGACAGTCTTGAGGCACCCTTTAAATTTATGGACGGTCCCGAGGCACCTTTAAAATTATCGACAGTCTTGAGGCACCCTATTTTAAAATGGGGTGCCTCAAGCATGTCCATAATTTTAAAAGGGCACCCCATACTAAAATGTGAAAAACAGTTCTAATAGTTTTATATAATGCAGCAACATCCAGACATGTAGGGCAGCCAACATTAGAGGAGATTTATTCTTCCAACACAAATACACTTGTGCACACTGGTTCCGATGTTTCTCCTCTCCCTCAGTTGTTCTCCATCACTGAGCTAATGTGACCCCAGCACAGATGGCGAGGGACAGGGGAGGGTCAAAGTAGGATGATGTGCAGGCAGCCAACGTCCTCCTCATCAACTGATGATGTAATTGATTGTCAGGAAGCCAGCAGCTAGAACATGGGTGGCAATCTGGCGGCCCTCCAGTTGTTGCCAAACTATAAGTCCCATGAGGCATCGCAAGATTGACTAGTTACAAGCATGACTCCCAAATGCAGAGGCATGATGGGACTTGTAGTTTCGCAACAACTGTAGGGCCACCAGTTTGACACTTCTGCTCTAGAGCATGGGTACTTGACCTTTCTGAGACCAGGGCCCAGTAAATTCTTCCAAAATCTCCCATGCCCCAACAATGAAGAATAAAATTTACACTCACACAATCAAAGTGTGGGAATGTGAAACATGGATTGAAATGCTGGACGGAGCTGGGTATCACTGTAGGGAAAGATGGGGGTTGCGAAGTGGGTGGGTGGGGACTTTTTAGCGGACTTTATGGCTTTGTAGGGGATGAGATTTCTGGAAAAGGCTGGGAGAACACCTTTGGAGGTTGGAGGCATTATGGAAGGTTGGGGTTAGGGGCACTGTGAAGGCTGAGGGTTGGGGGCTCTTCAGCAGATATGGTGGCTCAGTAGAGGATAAGGTTTCTGGAGGGTTCTGGGGAACCCGTCTCCAGGACTTCTCCAGAGCCTCCCCCATCCTCTGGAACTCTCTACCCCAATTTATCAGACTATCGCCTTCTCTGCTTACTTTTAGGCGATCTCTGAAAACCTGTCTCTTCAGGTAAGCCTATCCTGCCCTCAGCTAATAAAGGAATCTTCTATTCCCCCTACCAGTCCCTCCCCCACAGTTATTTCCTTTTGTACCACTAGCCCCTCCTTCTTAGATTGTAAGCACCAAGGAGCAGAGCCCTCCTAACCCTCTTGTATTGAACTGTATTGTTGCTGTATTGTCTCCCGTTATATTGTAAAGCGCTGAGCAAACTGTTGGTGCTATATAAATCCTGTATAATAATAATATATAAATCCTGTATAATAATAATATATAAATCCTGTATAATAATAATAACACCCTTTAGAGGTTGGAGGCACTATGGAGGGTTGGAGGCTCTGTAGCACACTGAAGGGCTCTGTGGAAGCTTGGGCGGGGTTAGGGGAACTGGGAGGCTGAAGGCGGTGGGGACTTTTCAGCAGACATGGTGGCTCTGTAGGGAATGAGGTTTCAGAAGGGGGCTGGGGAACACTAGGAGGTTTGAGGCACTATGGAGGGTTGAAGGCCCTGCAGCACTGTAGGAGGTTGGGTGTAAGGGCATTGTGGAGGCTGAGGGCAGGGTGCTCTTCAGCAGAATTGGTGGCTTTGTAGGGGATGAGGTTTCTGGAGGGGGTTGGGGAACACTTTTGGAAGTTGGAGGCACAATGGAGAGTTAAGGCTCTGCAGCATTGTGGGAGTTGGGGATAGGGGCACTGTGGAGGCTGAGGGTTGGGGACTCTTCAGCAGAATTGGTGGCTCTGTAGGGGGGTGAGGTTTCTGGAGGGGGCTTGGGAACACTCTTGGAGGTTGGAGACACTGTGGAGAGTTGGAGACTCTGAGCACACTGATGGGCACTGTGGAAGGTTGGGTGGGGGTGGGGTAGAGGCACAGTGAAGGCTGAGCGCCTGGTACTCTTCAGCAGACATGGTGGCTCTGTAGGGCATGAGCTTTCTGGAGGGGGCTGAGGAACACTTGGAGGTTGGAGTGCTGGAGGCTCTGCAGCAGGTTGAGGGCAATGTAGTAGGTTAAGGGATCTGCAGCTGGCTGGAGGACTGTGGTTGAAAACCACTTCTCTAGTGTACTTGGCCAAAATTGATATACTATAACAGTTTTCCTGGGCCTGTCCTCCAGTTCCACTGAGAGGGTGCAGCACGCTGCTTCCATTCTTCTCTCAAGAGGAACTCAGGCTTGATGCTAGCAAAACCGCCTTGGGTAACACCAACATTTGACGTTCGGCTGCTGTGATGGACGTATCTAAATATCTAAAGTCCCATAAAAAAAGGGGACGGGCTGCTGGATGCATTACAACCCATTTATTTTTGAATGAGCATCCTAACACAACACGTCTAAACGCACAGAAATGCTCGTTCTGCACTCTGGTGTGATTGGCTCTCACATTATGCTCTGCAGACTGTCATCCAACTGCCAGAGCCTATTGTGGGAAGTGATATTCTAGCTTTTGGGATATGTGGCTTATCACCAGGAGAGGACAGACCTTAATTTTGATTTAGGTAAAAGACACATTGCAGTGTATAGCCTGGGCCCCTGGGTGTGTGAGGGGTTCCACGGGTTCAGATTGAAGACTAACACCGATGCTAAATGGCTCAGCACTTCTGCACTGTGCTCAGCTTGGAGACATTGGGGGACAGATCAGGTTCAGTTTAAGGCGGAGTTCCACTCAAAAGCGGAAGCTCCACCTATTTGCCTTCTCCCCTCCTCCACTGCCATCTTTGACACCTTTTGGGGGGAGTGGGGAGCGGATACCTGGTTTTGACGGCTTATTTGCCTTCTCCCCCCCTCCACTGCCATCTTTGACACCTTTTGGGGGGGAGGTGGGGAGCGGATACCTGGTTTTGACGGCTTATTTGCCTTCTCCCCCCCCTTTACTGCCATCTTTGCCACCTTTTGGGGGGGAATGGGGAGCGGATACCTGGTTTTTGGCAGGTAACCGCTCCCACTTCCGGCTCAGTTTGCCACAGCGAAGTAGGCCAGTAGTTCGGCCCCCTCCTCCCTACCGCAGTCTCCTGGGATTTTTCACAGGTCCCAGAAGACGGCCGGACTAATTAGGAGGCGCAGCGCGATTCACGCATGCGCAATGGTCACCAGGCTGTGAAGCCGCAAGCTGTCACAGCCTGGTGCCCACAAGTTGAGATGCCGGCGCCATGGAGGAGAGAAGGGACGGCACGGGTGAGTACATCGCTGGACCCCGGGACAGGTAAGTGTGTGTTTATTAAAAGTAACTGTAGCGGCTGACTTTTAATAAACACAAAAACGGCTGGAACTCCGCTTTAGCTTTTGAACTACTTGAGGAAATGGCTGGTAAGCGTGATCCTATAAGAATATTCGATTATTCAGGGGAAGGCTGATATCCAAATATTACAGTACAGAGGAACACCGGTGCAGGCTGGCTGCATACATACACCACCACCATCATCCTTTTCTCACGGTGTCAGCGACCTCAGGCCAGGAGGGGTTTGGCAGCCGTGCTGGAAACATGATTCTCAGCTTTTATATAAACAGGCATTCCCGGAACACATGTTCTGCTGAGTGATTTAAAGCCTCTCTTCTGATCAGCAGCAAGTCCAGCTCCTGACTTTTCCCAAGGAATACTGAGACAGGCCTTCTAGTATGAGTGTCTCTGTAATGTGGAGAATACTCTGTTCCCAAACTTCTCTACTGTTCTTATTACAGCCAACACCAGGATATCACAACCTCACAGGGAACCCTCTATAATGTAGAAGATACTGGGCTTCTGACCTTTTCTCTACCTTTCTGATTACCTCCAACATCAAGATATCATAACCTCACAAGAAACCCTCCATAATGTTAAGCAGGGGTCTCCAAAGCTTTCTAACAAGGGGTTGGTTTACTGTCTTTCAGACTTTAGGGGGGCTGGACTGTGGCCATTGGGAGCAGAAATTGTCCTGGTGGTAGTGGGAGTAAGCAGTGCATCTTTGGTCTTCGGGAAAGGAATAGTGCCCCATCATTGGTGTCAATGGTAGGAATAGGGCCCCATCATTGGTGTCAATGGGAGGAATAGTGCCCCATCATTGGTGTCAATAGTGTCCCATCATTGGTGTCAATGGGAGGAATTGCGGCCCATCATTGGTGTCAATTGGAATAGTGCCCCATCATTGGTGTCAATGGGAGGAGCGTCCCATCATTGGTGTCAATAGCGCCCCATCATTGGTGTCAATGGGAGGAATAGTGCCCCATCATTGGTGTCAATGGGAGGAATAGTGCCCCATCATTGGTGTCAATGGGAGGGAATAGTGCCCCATCATTGGTGTCAATGGGAGGAATAGCACCCCATCATTGGTGTCAATGGGAGGAATAGTGCCCCATCATTGGTGTCAATGGGAGGAATAGCGCCCCATCATTGGTGTCAATGGGAGGAATAGCGGCCCATCATTGGTGTCGATGGGAGAAATAGCGGCCCATCATTGGTGTCGATGGGAGAAATAGTGCTTCATCATTGGTGTCAGTGGGAGAAATAATGCCCCATTGTTGGTTTCAGTAGGAGGAACAGTTTTTGGTGTCATTGGGAGGAATGATGTCCACTGTTGGTGTCATTGGGAGGAATGATGTCCACTGTTTATGTCAGTGGGAGAAATTGTGCCCCGTTGGTGACATATAGATTGACACCCGGTTCACACCTATGCGGCCATGCGGGCACGAGAGCCCATTTATTTGAATGGACTCCCGTGCCCGTGACACGCAGGGAAGAAGTCCCTGAACTTCTTTGGAAAACGCAGCCCGCACGGGAACCTCGGTTCTCAGTACGGTTTCTTTTTCCAGTGCAGGCGGTGTGCCATTAGAAGTAATGGCACCCGCCCGCGGGTCCGCATTTCTCTTTGCGGATTTTCGTGCAGATCCGCAGCGGCACCACCCGCACAGATGTGAACCTAGGGTGAATACAATTATATCTATAATTGTGTGGATATTACAGGTAGTAGTATTATTATTATATGGATAATCACAAAGTATGGTATATTGTTATTATTGTGTGGATGTAAAATGTGATATCACAGTTGTGGGTGTAATCACAAACGTACAGAAGGCCAGGGGCAGAGTACTTTCTAGCATATGGAGGGTCACGTTGGAGAGTGTGATATCCTGAAGATGGGTGTAACCAGAAAGGTAGAGAGGAGGTCAGGAGCAGAGCATTTCTACCTCATGGAAGATCATATTGGAGGTGTGATATCCTGGTGGCGGATGTAATCAGAAAGATAGAGAGGAGGTCAGGAGCAGAGCATTTCTATTTTATGGAAGGTCATATTGGAGGTGTAATATTCTGGTGTTGGATGTACCCAGAACTGTAGAGAGGAGGTCAGTAGCAGAGTATTTCTACTTTATGAAGGGTCATATTGGAGGTGTGATATCCTGGTGGTTGATGTACCCAGAACGGTAGAGAGGTCAGGAGCAGAGCATTTCTACCTCATGGAAGGTCATGTTAGAGGTGTGATATTCTGGTGGTGGATGTAATCAGAAAGGTAGAGAGGAGGTCAGGAGCAGAGCATTTCTACCTCATGGAAGGTCATGTTGGAGGTGTGATATCTTGGTGGTGGATGTAATCAGAAAGGTAGAGAGGAGGTCAGGAGCAGAGCATTTCTACCTCATGGAAGGTCATGTTGGAGGTGTGATATCCTGGTGGTGGATGTAATCAGATGTAATCAGAAAGGTAGAGAGGAGGTCAGGAGCAGAGCATTTCTACTTTATGGAAGGTCATATTGGAGGTATGATATCCTGATGATGGGTGTAATCAGAAAGGTAGAGAGGAGGTCAGGAGCAGAGCATTTCTACCTCATGGAAGGTCATGTTGGAGGTGTGATATCCTGATGGTGGATGTAATCAGAAAGGTAGAGAGGAGGTCAGGAGAGCATTTCTACCTCAGGAAGGCAGAGCATTTCTACCTCATGGAAGGTCATACTGGAGGTGTGATGTCCTGGTGGTGGATGTAATCAGAAAGGTAGAAAGAAGGTCAGGAGCAGAGTATTTTCTACCTTATGGGGGAGGGGTGGTATGCTGATGGTGGAAAGATAGGGACTGCAGAGACCCTCTCCACTGTTGGTCCCTTAAAAAAAAAAGGATTCCACATATCATAAATTCTGCTTTATCATCCACAGATGGAAATCCCTTCTTCCAGCATAATAAACCGCTACATCGCGTGCCAGGGCCCCCTGCCCAATACCTGTCCGGACTTCTGGCAGATGACGTGGGAGCAGGGCTCCTCCATGGTGGTGATGCTGACCACACAGGTGGAACGTGGAAGGGTAGGTCAAAAGCCACAATATTTGTTTGTAACACATTTTCAGTATAGTTGCAATGTTATTTCTATGTACGTTGTGCATTAAGACAAAGAAATTACTGTTTCTTCCACTGGGCAACCCAGCTCCACATCCACGTCTGGAGCGCTGCAGACCCACGACCGTTCCCAGTTGGGATGGCAATACCATTCAAAAAAGGAGATCTGTGGACAGATGTCCAAAACACTAAAGCAGATGTAAAAAAAAATCTGCCTATGCATATAAGGGGTGCCCGTAGAATAACAATAAACTGTGCAGCGTTGAATAATTGCTTTCCTATGGGTGTAGGCCATCTAGTTACCTCCCAAAGCCTGGTCAAAGATGGCATTATCCTGTTCTGCCTTGTTGCTAGGAGGTTGCTAAGACACTCACAGCCGTTACTGCTCACCCTCAACACCACAGGAGCGAACTGTCAAGCCTCTGCACATTTGCTGTTCTTTATTTCCTCCATTGCAGCATCGCCAAGCTCAAAAACTGCTGCAACGAGGGATAGAGAGCTCATGGAAGGGGTTTGAATTAGATAAAGAGCTTCATTCTATGATGGTGGGAGTGAGCACTAGCGGCTAAGAGTGCCTTGGAAACGTCCTAGCAACAAGGCAGAACTGGGGTGGTGGGTGGTTTCATCTCTGGGAATTTTTCGGCCAGACTTCGAGAGGTACTTAAATGGCCTACACCTACAGCAAGGGCATTATCCAACTTTGGTCAAAGCTGCCCAGATTGTCTTTTCTACAGGCACCACTTACCTGCATAGGCAGTTTGTCTTTGTAAAAGTTAACCAACCCATTAAGCATCCATGCTACAAACCAGTAATGATACCAGATCACATCAAGCATCAGGTTGACTTGCTAGCAACGTTGATTTATGTTTTCGATACTTAAATAATCCTCGAATGTTTCTGAATATCCTTCAATAGACCACCGTCTTCTGTTTTAATCCGGTTATATACTTTCCTCATATTGGGCAAAGTTTTAGGTCCGCTGTATGTAGTTTTCCTGCTTTTCCCCCTCTGCTTCCCCTGATCTGCCATCAGAATTCCTTGAATCCCTATGTAAAGTTCATCTTTCTGAAAGACCGAGCATGCACAAGGCTTAATAGGCTCCTCCCCTATCTCATGTAGAGGCAGCAAGGGTCGTGTGCCCCCTTACCTGAAAGTATAGGGTAAGTTAACTGACTGAAAATATGACAACCTTTCTCCAGATAATGGAGTTACAACATCATACAAAGACGTTGTAGACAATTGAGCTCTTCCAACCTTATGGTTACAGCTTGGGGAAGGCCCCTGTGTACAAAGCCAGCTTCATAAAGACATGGTTTGACCAGTTTGGTGTGGAGGAACTGAGTATCCTGCATAGAGCCCTGACCTCAACCACACTGAACACCTTTGGGATGAATTGGAACTCCGATGATGAACCAGATCTTCTCATCCACCATTAGTAGCTCACCTTACAAATGTTCTTTTGGCTGATTGGACACAAATTCCACACAGACATACTCCAACATTTTGTAGGAAACCTTTCTAGAAGAATAAAGCTAGCTTCATAAAGACATAGTTTGGTGTGGTGAACTTGAGTGTCCTGCACAGAGCCCTGAGAACCCTACAGAACACCTTTGAGATGAATTTGAACTCTAATTGCGAGCCAGGTCTTCTCAATGAACATCACCATAAAGACATGGTTTGACCAGTTTGGTGTGGAGGAACTCGAGTGTCCTGCACAGGTCCTGACCTTAACCCTACTGAACACCTTTGGACTGATATGGAACTCCGATGGTAAGTCAGTTCTTTTCATCCAACATCAGTACCTGAACTCGCAGATTTCTTTTGGTTTATTGAACACAAATTCTCACTGATGAACTCCAAAATTTGTGTAGTGCCAGCTCCATAAAGACCTAGTTTGATGGGTTTGGTGTGGAGGAACTTGAGTGTCTTCCACAGTCATGACCTCAGCCGTACTGAACACCTTTGAGATGAGTTGGAATGCTGATTGTGAGCAGGGGCGGACTGACCATTTGGAAACTCGGGCACTGCCCGAGGACCTGGGGTCAGTAGGGGGCCCACTGAGATGCCCCTGGTACCTTTTTCATAGGCTTTTTTGAGTTTGGGCAAGGACACAGGGGCCCAATGATCCCCCATTGCCCGGGGGCCCCAGGAGTTGTCAGTCCGCCCCTGATTGTGAGCCACGTTTTCTCATCCAACATCAGTACCTGACCTCACAAATGGGCACAAAATCCCACAGACATCCCCCAAAATCTCGTGTAATATTTAATGATCCTGGTTTTGGAATTACCGCCTACAGGTGTGATGGTCGGGTATCCACAAACATTTGGCTATATAGTGTGTTTTTCTCAGCTTGGAGGGGAAGGTGAGTACAGGTGGATTACAGCACATGTCTAGTACAGGCAATGCCCAGATTCACTTTAATTGCCCCCAACCCCCCGATCGTTTTGCTCTTGTTGTGTCCATGCCCTGCCCACTCAGGTGTCAGCCATAACTTTGCATATGGAGGACAAGAAAGGCTTCTTCATTGTTCCACAATGTTCTTTATTGTTATGTTCTTTATTATGTGATTTTATTATTCCTTCTACCCAGTAATTACACAAAGATATTCCCTTTTCAGGTAAAGTGCCACCAGTACTGGCCGGAGCCCATAGGGAGCTCTGAATTCGGCAATTTCCAAATAACCTGCCACTCGGAAGTAGGAAACCCAGCGTATGTTTTCCGAGAGATGACACTGACAAACTTGGAGGTGAGTCTTTGTTATTTAAAGAACACTTGTGCCCTTGGGGTATGTTTGGCACTGCTTTAAGCATGCTAAAGCCAGCTAAAAGCTTTTTTAAAGCTACAGCCAGCAAATCCCATAGGATGACTGGGAGAAACAGAGCACATTTGTCATATTTCCTTTTTCTTGCAGAAATACATAGACTGTTCTCTATATATAAATCCATGATTATCATTTACAAGTCAACCTGAGCCCTGATTTCACTGCACACTGTAAACTTCTCACAGGGTGCATTAGAAGTTGCAGCAAGGCAGATGGGGCCCGCCTCATTTCCCGGCTGGAGGACATCCAGCATCATCTAGCGCTTTCTGCTCCAGCCTGTCTGTCCCTCACCTGCCCCTTTTATATTAAGCACTTTAGGTCAGCCTTTCTCAACCAGGGTGCCTTGAGGCTTCTTCAGGGGTGCCTTGAGGCTTCTTCAGCGTTGCCTTGAGGTTTCTTCAGCGTTGCCTTGAGGTTTCTTCAGGGGTGCCTTGAGGTTTCTTCAGCGTTGCCTTGAGGTTTCTTCAGGGGTGCCTTGAGGCTTCTTCAGCGTTGCCTTGAGGTTTCTTCAGCGTTGCCTTGAGGTTTCTTCAGCGTTGCCTTGAGGTTTCTTCAGGGGTGCCTTGAGGTTTCTTCAGGGGTGCCTTGGCAAAATGTCTAAAAATTGCATAAAAACTTGTATACAAGCCATTGGGTGGAACAAGCCGGCCTTTTAGTTACACAAAGCCACCAGTTATCACTGTGCAACATTACGACCCTCTAGCCGCCAGCATCCTGACAACCAATGACATCAGTTGATAAGGAGAATGTCAGCTGCCTGCACAACATCCTAGTTTGACCCTCCCCTGCCCCCCCCATCAGTGCTGGGGTCACATTAGCTCAGTGATGGAGAAAAACGGAGGGAGAAGAGAAACACGGGAATACTAGTCAGTACCAGTGTGCAAAAGTGTATTTGCTTTGGAAGGATAAATCACCTCTGTTTGGTGTCCTACATGTGTGGATGTTGCTGCATTATATAAAACTATTAGAATTGTTTTTCACATTTTAGAATGGGGTGCCTCGGGACTGTCCATCATTTTAAAGGGTGCCTCGGGACTGTCCATCATTTTAAAGGGTGCCTTGTCTGAATGGAAAAAAGGTTGAGAAACACTGCTTTAGGTCATTGAGGCTCAGTATCTTGTGTTGGTGTTTCCTTGGGTAATTATACACATACAGTCTGCCCTGGAATGCCCTCACCTCCAGACTGTCACCCTCCCGTCAAGGCTTTTTTTTATATTTGCATACCTCCTCCCAAGAGCCAACCCACTGCTTGCATCAGGGCTGAGGGTTCTTGGGAAGAGTACTGAGGCAGGGTGCTATGATGTTTCCAAAAGCTATGTACTGCACCCTGCCGTCTCCTTCCACCAGTCATAGTTTACCACTGTTGCATAGAGAAGCACAGAGACCCGGTTATGATGTCACTGGGTCTAACATAACGTATATAATAAAAACAAACGTTTTATTTAAAATTGTTCTTGCATGTTAGTGCAGGGGGAGGTGGCAACATATAAGCTGAATATAAACTTCGGCTATATCCATGTATCTTTATGTGTTTCTCTAATCCAGAAAACCGAGAGCCGTCCTCTCACACAGATCCAGTACACGGCCTGGCCGGATCATGGCGTCCCAGACGATTCCAGTGACTTCCTGGATTTTGTGTGCCTTGTAAGGCAGAAGAGAGCCAACCACGATGAGCCAGTGGTGGTACACTGCAGGTATTGTGATTGGAGTCCTGCGACGAATCTGCTCAGCAGAGCTTGCCAGATAGCGGCTTTGTATTTGCCAAAAGCTATGCTGGGTTTGTATATTAGGAGGACCGAGGTCTGGGTACAAAATACAGCCAGTCAGAGAATGCAGGGCAGTCTGAATAATGAACTGTTGTCAGAGAGTGATAGAGCACTGCCACCTGCTGGTTAGAGGGATAACTGAATGTCTCTGATCTCAACACAAGAAGACTGCGCAAGCCGGGATTTTATTTATTCCTAAATTATCTGGGGTAAGGTATAGTACAGAGGTAGTCCAGGAATATTATCAGGGGTAAGGTATAGTACAGAGGTGAGTCCAGGAATATTATCAGGGGTAAGGTATAGTACAGAGGTGAGTCCAGGAATATTATCGGGGGTAAGGTATAGTACAGAGGTAGTCCAGGAATATAATCAGGGGTAAGGTATAGTACAGAGGTAGTCCAGGAATATAATCAGGGGTAAGGTATAGTACAGGGGTGAGTCCAGGCATATTATCGGTGGTAAGGTATAGTACAGAGGTGAGTCCAGGAATATTATCGGGGGTAAGGTATAGTACAGAGGTAGTCCAGGAATATTATCAGGGGTAAGGTATAGTACAGAGGTAGTCCAGGAATATAATCAGGGGTAAGGTATAGTACAGAGGTAGTCCAGGAATATAATCAGGGGTAAGGTATAGTACAGAGGTAGTCCAGGAATATATATCAGGGGTAAGGGTACAGAGGTAGTCCAGGAATATAATCAGGGGTAGTACAGAGGTAGTCCAGGAATATAATCAGGGGTAAGGTATAGTACAGAGGTGAGTCCAGGAATATTATCAGGGGTAAGGTATAGTACAGAGGTAGTCCAGGAATATAATCAGGGGTAAGGTATAGTACAGAGGTAGTCCAGGAATATTATCAGGGGTAAGGTATAGTACAGAGGTAGTCCAGGAATATTATCAGGGGGTAAGGTATAGTACAGAGGTGAGTCCAGGAATATTATCAGGGGTAAGGCATAGTACAGGGGTGAGTCTAGGAATATCATCAGGGGTAAGGTATAGTACAGAGATGAGTCCAGGAATATAATCAGGGGTAAGGTATAGTACAGAGATGAGTCCAGGAATATAATCAGGGGGTAAGGTATAGTACAGGGGTGAGTCCAGGAATATTATCAGGGGGGGTAAGGTATAGTACAGGGGTGAGTCCAGGAATATAATCAGGGGTAAGGTATAGTACAGAGGTGAGTCCAGGAATATTATCAGGGGTAAGGTATAGTACAGAGATGAGTCCAGGAATATTATCGGGGGGTAAGGTATAGTACAGAGATGAGTCTCCAGGAATATAATCAGGGGTAAGGTATAGTACAGAGGTAGTCCAGGAATATTATCGAGGGTAAGGTATAGTACACAGGGTGAGTCCAGGAATATAATCAGGGGTAAGGTATAGTACAGAGGTAGTCTAGGAATATTATCGGGGGTAAGGTATAGTACAGAGGTAGTCCAGGAATATTATCGGGGGTAAGGTATAGTACAGAGGTAGTCCAGGAATATTATCAGGGGGTAAGGTATAGTACAGAGGTAGTCCAGGAATATTATCGGGGGTAAGGTATAGTACAGAGGTAGTCCAGGAATATTATCAGGGGTAAGGTATAGTACAGGGGTAGTCCAGGAATATTATCAGGGGTAAGGTATAGTACAGAGGTAGTCCAGGAATATTATCAGGGGTAAGGTATAGTACAGGGGTGAGTCCAGGAATATTATCGGGGGGTAAGGTATAGTACAGAGATGAGTCCAGGAATATAATCGGGGGTAAGGTATAGTACAGAGGTAGTCCAGGAATATTATCGAGGGTAAGGTATAGTACAGGGGTGAGTCCAGGAATATAATCAGGGGTAAGGTATAGTACAGAGGTAGTCTAGGAATATTATCGGGGGTAAGGTATAGTACAGAGGTAGTCCAGGAATATTATCGGGGGTAAGGTATAGTACAGAGATGAGTCCAGGAAATATTATCGGGGGGTAAGGTATAGTACAGGGGTGAGTCCAGGAATATTATCGGGGGGGGGTAAGGTATAGTACAGAGATGAGTCCAGGAATATAATCAGAGGTAAGGTATAGTACAGAGGTAGTCTAGGAATATTATCAGGGGGGGTAAGGTATAGTACAGAGGTAGTCCAGGAATATTATCGGGGGTAAGGTATAGTACAGAGATGAGTCCAGGAATATTATCGGGGGGTAAGGTATAGTACAGGGGTGAGTCCAGGAATATTATCGGGGGGTAAGGTATAGTACAGAGATGAGTCCAGGAATATAATCAGGGGTAAGGTATAGTACAGGGGTGAGTCCAGGAATATTATCAGGGGTAAGGTATAGTACAGAGGTAGTCCAGGAATATTATCAGGGGTAAGGTATAGTACAGGGGTGAGTCCAGGAATATAATCAGGGGTAAGGTATAGTACAGGGGTGAGTCCAGGAATATAATCAGGGGTAAGGTATAGTACAGGGGTGAGTCCAGGAATATAATCAGGGGTGAGGTATAGTACAGGGGTGAGTCCAGGAATATTATCGGGGGTAAGGTATAGTACAGGGGTGAGTCCAGGAATATAATCAGGGGTAAGGTATAGTACAGAGTTAGTCCAGGAATATTATCGGGGGTAAGGTATAGTACAGAGGTGAGTCCAGGAATATTATCAGGGGTAAGGTATAGTACAGGGGTGAGTCCAGGAATGTAATCAGGGGTAAGGTATAGTACAGAGTTAGTCCAGGAATATAATCAGGGGTAAGGTATAGTACAGGGGTGAGTCCAGGAATATTATCAGGGGTAAGGTATAGTACAGAGGTAGTCCAGGAATATAATCAGGGGTAAGGTATAGTACAGAGTTAGTCCAGGAATATTATCGGGGGTAAGGTATAGTACAGGGGTGAGTCCAGGAATATAATCAGGGGTAAGGTATAGTACAGAGATGAGTCCAGGAATATTATCAGGGGTAAGGTATAGTACAGAGATGAGTCCAGGAATGTAATCAGGGGTAAGGTATAGTACAGAGATGAGTCCAGGAATATTATCGGGGGTAAGGTATAGTACAGGGGTGAGTCCAGGAATATTATCGGGGGTAAGGTATAGTACAGAGATGAGTCCAGGAATATTATCAGGGGTAAGGTATAGTACAGGGGTGAGTCCAGGAATATTATCAGGGGTAAGGTATAGTACAGGGGTGAGTCCAGGAATATTATCAGGGGTAAGGTATAGTACAGGGGTGAGTCCAGGAATGTAATCAGGGGTAAGGTATAGTACAGAGATGAGTCCAGGAATATTATCGGGGTAAGGTATAGTACAGGGGTGAGTCCAGGAATGTAATCAGGGGTAAGGTATAGTTCAGAGGTGAGTCCAGGAATATTATCGGGGGTAAGGTATAGTACAGGGGTGAGTCCAGGAATATTATCGGGGGTAAGGTATAGTACAGAGATGAGTCCAGGAATATTATCAGGGGTAAGGTATAGTACAGGGGTGAGTCCAGGAATATTATCGGGGGTAAGGTATAGTACAGAGATGAGTCCAGGAATATAATCAGGGGTAAGGTATAGTACAGGGGTGAGTCCAGGAATATTATCAGGGGTAAGGTATAGTACAGGGGTGAGTCCAGGAATATAATCAGGGGTAAGGTATAGTACAGGGGTGAGTCCAGGAATATTATCAGGGGTAAGGTATAGTACCGGAGGTGAGTCCAGGAATATTATCAGGGGTAAGGTATAGTACAGGGGTGAGTCCAGGAATATTATCAGGGGTAAGGTATAGTACCGGGGTGAGTCCAGGAATATAATCAGGGGTAAGGTATAGTACAGAGGTGAGTCCAGGAATATTATCAGGGGTAAGGTATAGTACAGGTAGGGGTTCTATAAGTCCACAATTTCTGATGTCTATGACATGCTGTAAAGTACAGTTTTTTAGGTCCCTCTGCTCCCAGTAAAACATGGAGTGTTTCTATCCTCTTGGAATGAATTTCTCTTTAATTAAAATTCATTCATTTTCTTTCTCTCACTCTCTTTCTCTTCAATACTTCCATCCACTGACCCAACTTCATTACAGGATACACGTTCGTTTACTTCTGTATTATACAGAAACAACTGTGGCATGGATAATTGGCGGTACAGATATACTGCATAACATACATCCTATTCTTCCTCTGCAGTGCTGGGATTGGTCGAACAGGCGTTCTTATCACCATGGAGACGGCGATGTGTCTGATGGAGTGTAACCAGGCTGTGTACCCGCTAGACATCGTACGAACAATGAGAGACCAGCGGGCTATGATGATTCAGACTCCGGTAACTTCTTGTAGAAATGACAATGCTTTGAACTGGAGCCTAGCACAGTGCGGTCACGGGGTAATCTTTTAACTAATAGTGACCGCACTTCTTACTGATCTTTCTGCTGCACCAAATTTGGCATCACTATTTAACGCTTCTGTGCAGCAGCAGTGAGGATGATCTTCAGCGCACTTACCACGTCACACATACGTGTCAATGGGCAGTTGACAAACATGCGGTTCTCAGTTCAATACAAGTGTCGCGGTCACAGAGGTCCTTGTAGTTCTCAGTGGACTACAAGTGTGTCGATCATCGCACTCAAAGTCCATTGAGACTTCCTCCTGCTGAGTAGCTGAAAGCCCATACAGAGGTACTGACAGGGAGCTGCAGGAGTCTGTGGATTACACCCGCCATCCACTGATGGTAAAAGCCGAACTTAACCTGTAACACAGCTCCCAACGTTCCTCACATAAGGGGCGATTCTCCCACCACACAGCACACTGGGGGTTATTTACTATACCTGGAGAGTGCAAAATCTGGTGCAGCTCTGCATAGAAACCAATCGGCTTCTAGGTTGTATTGCCAAAGTTTAATTGAGCAATCTGAAGTTAGAAGCTGATTGGCTCCCATGCACAGCTGCATCAGATTCTCAGGGCTCCAGTTTTAGTAAATCTACCCCACTGTTCCCAATAAATATCAAGCCATAAATATTGTGGCACATACAAAAAACAAAAAAAGTCCAGTGACATGTCGAAAAAAAACGTCCCGTGATAAAAAAACTTATATTTTCATAAATTTCTTCAGTGCCAATAATAGTCCTTCCACCATCCACCAGTGCAAAACCAACATGAACCGCACTCACCAGATAATTGGTGAGTATATCGCCTTTCAGGATTATTAACCACTTCCAGACCGGACACTTTCCCCCCCTTCCTGTCCGGACACTTTCCCCCCCTTCCTGTCCAGGGCAATTTTCAGCTTTCAGCGCTATCACACTTTGAATGACAATTGCGCAGTCATGCAACACTGTACCCAAATTAATTTTTTACCATTTTTTTGAGACAGATAAAGCTTTATTTTGGTGGTATTTGTTCACCACTGGGATTTTAATTTTTTTTGCTATGTAAATGAAAAAGTCCAAAAATTTTGTACAAAAGTGTTTTTTTTACAAAATTTTGCAAATAAATAATATTTCATCATACATCTTTGCCAAAATGTATTCCATTATCTTTTTAGTAAAAAAAAAAAAAAACAAATTAGTTTATAACCAAACATTATAATTTTTTAAACATTTTTTTTTACATTTTTATTTTATTTTTTTATATTATTATTTTTGATTTATTTTTATTTTTTTACATACTGTCACCCTAGCAGTAATGTCACCATGGTGACACTGTACTACTTGTGGGGGGTGATGTAGATTTATTTTTTTTTTTTTTTTACACTGATTGCTTTTACACCCATATAGGATGTAAAAGCAATCATTTCTCTTTCTCTCTGTGTGCATTCCTGCACTCATTGAGAAGTACTGAGTGAGCTGTGATTGGTCACAGCTTGTCACATGGCACAAGGCTGTTGTGAATAGCCTTGTACCATGTGACCTCTGTGATCATTCACAGATTTCAGACGTAGTAAGCAATAATGTCACAAGTGACATCTTGCTTACTACTTTGCATATGATCACTGATTGGCCAATCAGTGATCACATGATCAGGACCTTCGCACAGAGGTCCGTCCGACGATCGGTGTTTCACTGTGTCCAGAGGACACAGCGGGCACCGGATCGCGGTGCTGCTCGCTCCCAGGGAGCGCGCACAAGCAGGGTGCGGGGAGGCCGTTCATAAATGGCCACCCGACCCTGCACTGCCACCGTCCGGCCGTTTATATGCAACGGCCGGTCGGGAAGTGGTTAAGGGCTCCTGGCCCCCTTTTTAACCTCCAAATATTGCCTCCTCTAGAACATAGAAACCTCCTCCGATTCCTCCCCTCACCGACTCCACCAAAATTCAGGAAGAAGAAAAACCAAATAGCGTGATACCGTTATGACTTTCAATCTTAATAAACTTTAAACCAGACCACTCACATTTATAAGGATAATAACCAGCATTTTATTGTTGTAATAACGATTTTCCATAGATCTTCTAGTAAGACCCCACAGCCAGGTAACACAGCAGGATGACAGACCTCAGAAGCAGCTTCCTCCACTAGGCAAGATGGCCCCTGGAACGCACCGCTCGGCGTGCGTTCCACTTCACCGGAAATGACGTCGGACGCCGGGACGGCCAGCCGGAAATACGTCAACGCATTTCGCCCCACCCACAGGGCGTTCTCAAGACTTTCTATGGACCATCTATGGAAAATCGTTATTACAACAATAAAATGCTGGTTAATATCTTTTAAAATGTGAGTGGTCTGGTTTAAAGTTTATTAAGATTGAAAGTCATAACGGTATCACGCTATTTGGTTTTTCTTCTTCCTGAATTTTGGTGGAGTCGGTGAGCGGAGGAATCGGAGGAGGTTTCTATGTTTTAGAGGAGGCAATATTTGGAGGTTAAAAAGGGGGTCCAGGAGCCCTTAATAATCCTGAAAGGCGTTATATACTCACCAATTATCTGGTGAGTGCGGTTCATGTTGGTTTTGCACTGGTGGATGGTGGAAGGACTATTATTGGCACTGAAGAAATTTATGAAAATATAAGTTTGTTTTTTTTATCACGGGACGTTTTTTTTTGGACATGTCACTGGACTTTTTTTGTTTTTTGTATGTGCCACAAATTATTTTGTTTTTTGACATTTATATATAAATTGTAATATTTTGCATTAATATTACTTATAGGTTGGGTATTTTACAGATTGCTTTCTGGTGTGTTTTGCGCTGTTTTTAGTTGAAAAATTTTTTTGGGGTTTTATGCCTATGCACAGCAGCATCTCACGTGGATAAGTGTGTCGGGAAGGAGGTCCTGGGCGCTGAGGTCTTTTTTTATTGATTTGACATAAATATTGTGGCACTGCTCCCATTATAAAAGAATCATTCAGTGATCTATAGTAAATTCATCAAAACCCAACGCAAACGAATCACAACAGATCCAAACAACTGCGCATCATTCAATTAATTATAATCAAAAAAGAAAGAAAAAGCGCCAAAAATTAAATAAATACAAAAAACCGCAGCAAACCTTAAACCTCAATCAAGGTGAATAATACAAACAAAAAATAGGAATGCGCTGTGAATTACTAAATATACATCTATAATCAAAAGGCCACATAAATAAAGTCACTTCAAAATTAGTGCACAAAAAAGCAGTGAAGTATCCAGGTGGCAAAATCAATACTCCGTGTTGAAGAGGGATATCCAAGATTGGGAGCAATACTCTGCAACAGTAGCATTAAACCAGCACCTGGGAACCTTTTATTAAACGTATCCTCCAGTCTTAGTCAAGGAGCCACACTCGGGAATAAAGAAAGAGGATGATGGTGCAGCGAGTTTAAAACATCATATTTAACCAAAAGTAAGTAAAACACTCACAAATAAGGTGTCACGCCGACACCAGCATGATAGGCAGTCAGCAATACCATCAGATTACAATCAGCGAGCAAACCCGCTTACCACGGATACCTCCGCTAGACAGCAGGGAACGTCCTGACGTCACGACATCCAGGGTCTTCCCTACGCGTTTCGTCACAAATTACGTCCTCACGGAGCGGCCCGAGTGTGGCTCCTTGACTAGGACTGGAGGATACGTTTAATAAAAGGTTCCCAGGTGCTGGTTTGATGCTTCTGTTGCAGAGTATTGCTCCCAATCTTGGATATCCCTCTTCAATACAGAGTATTGATTTTGCCACCTGGATACTTCACTGCTCCCAGAGCAACAGCGTTTTTGCTGGTTTTAATTAATCAGCAAAAAGCTCTGGTGAGTTTATTTCTTCTGGTGGTGGATTATGAGCTCAATTATACAAAATATATATTTTTTGCACCAATTTTGAAGAAAAATTTTTGTGCACTAATTTTGAAGTGACTTTATTTATGTGGACTTTTGATTATAGATGTATATTTAGTAATTCACAGCGCATTCCAAATTAATTATAATGTTGTAAAAATAAATCCAGAAATTTATATACTCATAAAAAAATATTTATAAGTTAATTTAGAAAAGATCCCATGTTCATTTAATCGAAAAAAGTATCCGTGTCTGTGGTCCACCGACCAACTTCATATAGAATGCTTGCCCTACACTATGGTGTATATTTCTTATTTTGAGGTATCATTGGATTAATAGGAGTTAATCCTTCTTTCTGGATGGAAATTTGGATCTTTGGACTTTTTTGGGCACATGTGGGACTTTTGTTGAATTGGACACTTTAAGATTTATGGACTTTATTTAACTTTATTTATCTGTATGTATATTTATTTATTTTATAGATATTATTTCACAAAAAGGTTTAATATAGTATACTTTCTAGGGAGAAAGTGTGACTTTTTGGTGGGTTCACAGAATAGGAGGTTATTAATTGAGTTGTAGAATGCTTGCCCACCTGACCAATAGACCTATAAAAATATATTTGTCCATAGTCTGGTGTCTCCTCCGCTTGTCATAGGCTCCAGTGTCTCTGGTTGGTCGACAGGTCCTCTTTAAATTATAGGCAACCCTCTGTGCAACTAACAATTCTCAAAGCAGAAAAGAGGCCTCCAATAGCGCAGTAACTTTTTATTATTGATTTTTTAAAACAAAAAAAAAAATGATAATTAAATAAGCTATAATAAATGAATATTACAATTAATAATAAAAGGTACTGCACCGTTGAAGGACTCTTTTCTTTTTTGAGAATTACGTGCCCCAGAAGACTACGGGGAGGACAACTTCTGCTTCCGATCACCTAGGCGATCGCAGCGGAAGTGGGAGCGGGTACCTGTCAAATTCACTGGATGTAATTGACAGCAGCGGGAGCCAATTGCTCCCGCTGCTGTCGCAGCCAATGAGGAGAGGGAGTCCCGGATTGCCGAGCATTCCATATGTGTTAATGGTGGATCACTGGCACAGGTACATTTGTGATTGGATTGGATTTATCAAAATGAACTTGTGATTGGGACTCCTATATACATTTCTGGATTTATTTTTACAACACTGTAATTAATTGAGTGATGGGTAATCGTTTGGATTTGTTGTGAGTAATTTATGTTTGGTATGGATGAATTTATTATAAATCACTGAATTGTTTTTTACATTGGGAGTAGCGCGACACTATTTATGGTTTGAGAAATACGGGTTGACGTGGGGACACATTATTGGTGTACACAGCAGTTCCAAATTTGATTGAATTTTTTGTCTAGTGTGTGGCAGAGCACAGAAGGTTTGTTTTCATTACACACTGTCCCCAAACTGTTAGTAATCACTACACCCAAAAGAGGTACTAAAGCCAGCTGTATGTGGATCAAAATTTGGCCGCTCCAACGGGTATCAACCGAATTTCAGTCCATGTATGTGCAGGGAGGTTGTACAGAAGTCTTCTGTACAACCACCATGTTGGATTTTCTCCGCTCGATCAGCACTGCAGGCTATAGCCTGTAACAATGATCAGTGTATTCTGATGGCAGGGAAGTCTTGCTGTCAGAATATTAAGGCTTAGCAGGGAGGATTCCCCCATCCACATGGACAGTGTGTGGATGGGGGAATCAAGTCAGTTTTTGTTCATGCAGTCCACTGGTTGAACAAAATATGTGCCTGACTCATCTATGGGTTGCCTTAGTCCAAGGTCTGCCTACATCTGGGGACACTGGTGCCAGCCAAATGGAGCCCATCCATGCTCCCCAACTGTCAAAAGCAAAGGGACTGGCCGCACCCTTATGATTCAACGTGAATAAAACTTTATTGTTCTAGAAAAGAATACAGAAGATCTGCCAGACCCACCTCACTCTGGTGCATTTCACCCAAACAGAGCATAGTCGTAGAGAATTCTCTGAACCATGTTTAGATGAACCACACGTAAGTAAGACGGGTCTGGGCGAATGTTCTGCATTCCTTGTCAGGGACAATAAAGTTTTATTCATGCTGATGTAATCAGACTACAGCCCGGCCCTTTGCCTTTGCTCATGTTCATCCTTCTGCCCCTGTAATGGTCACAGTGAAGGACAGTTTCCTCTTCTCCTTGGCAGAGCCAGTACCGCTTTGTGTGTGAAGCCATCTTGAAGGTATATGAAGAAGGGATCGTAAAGTCTCCAAAAACATCACATCATTAATAGAGGAGGAAACATCAAAACGAAGACACCCGTTCCCCCAAGCCGGGATCGAAGAGTCCTCGCCCGCTCGTCCTGCCCCAGGGGCGTGGCGATCAAGTCAAGGAGATTCGGAAGGACTTTAAAGAATTCAGCACTGTTGCACTTTACGTTGAAACAAACAGAAAATAATAGAATTTCTGAAACTCAACATTTCTCTTTGCTTTGGAAGACGATTTTTTTTTCCCTTTTTATTTTTAAGAAACATTTCAATGAACTGCTTTGCTCAGAACAAATTGAATGACTTTTTTTGTTTCTGTAGCTTTGCTTCTTCTTGTGCCACGATCCCGCCGCCAGGGAGGTGAAAAGGTACGCCCCATTGGGGGAAATGATACCACTGGCCTCTCGGGAAAGGACTCGCCTAGACTATGATACGTGTCCGTAGCAGTCACCCCACTGGCAGCAAGCAAGGCTTGAGATCATCGCCCTCTGCATTGTAGGATGTATTGCTGGCCTTTAGTACGACCATACATGATCACTGGATGTACCGGGAGCTTTGGGAGAAAGTCCAGTATGCATGAACTGAAGGAAACGTTACTGCATCATGAGCCTGCAGGATCCTTTGATCAAGGTGCAGTGTGCATTAAAGCTGAACTCCGGGCAGAAATTCCTAATCAGTATTATAAATGTCAGTTCTTACCTTTAATAGATGTCATCTTTTTTTTTTGCAAACAAAGCCGCAGCCACTGATCAATCTGTTTTGAATGCAGCATTTCCAGGGCTCAGTGTTCCTAATATCCTGAATGAAAGACTGGGGGGCCACCATGCCTCTTTTCCCAAGCCACCAGTCCTGTGGTCATGTTACTTACCCTGTATAGTTCATTATTAATAGCAGAGGGGTCATTATATTGCTGTAGTGGGAGGACCCAGGCGTCTCAGACTCCTAGTCTGTCCTGCGTACATGACATACCTTGACTGACAGGCCAGAAGATTTTAGACTGTCCCTCACGCCATGACATTATACCTTGACTGACAAGCCAGGAGACTTCTAGTGTGTCCTGCCCACCATGACATCATACCTTGACTGACAGGCCAGGAGATTCTAGTGTGTCCTGCCCACCATGACATCATACCTTGACTGACAAGGCCAGGAGACTTCTAGTGTGTCCTGCCCACCATGACATCATACCTTGACTAACAGGCCAGGAGACTTCTAGTGTGTCCTGCCCACCATGACATCATACCTTGACTGACAGGCCAGGAGACTTCTAGTGTGTCCTGCCCACCATGACATCATACCTTGACTGACAGGCCAGGAGACTTCTAGTGTGTCCTGCCCACCATGACATCATACCTTGACTGACAGGCCAGGAGACTTCTAGTCTGTCCCCCCCCCCCCCCCCCCCACCATGACATCATACCTTGACTGAAAGGCCAGGAGATTTTAGACTGTCCCTCCATGACATCATACCGCGACTGGACAGGCCAGGAGACTTCTACTGTGTCCTGCGCACATGACATCATACCTCGACTGACAGGCCAGGAGACTTTAGACTGTCCCTTCATGACATCATACCTCGACTGACAGACCAGAAGACAGTAGACTGTCCCTTTCTCCATGGCAGTGACTTGACAGGCCAGGAGACTTCTAGTATGTCCCCCCCACCATGACATCATACCTTGACTGACAGGCCAGAAGACTTCTAGTCTGCCCCCCCCCCCCACCATGACATTATACCTTGACTGACAGGCCAGAAGACTTTAGATTGTCCCTCCCTCCATGACTTCATAACGTGACTGGACAGGCCAGGAGATTTGTTCTGTGTCCTGCCCACCATGACATCATACCTTGACTGACAGGCCAGGAGACTTCTAGTCCATCCCTTCCACCAAGACATCATACCGTGACTGGACAGGCCAGGAGACTTCTAGTCTGTCCCCCCCACCATGACATCATACCTCGACTGAAAGGCCAGAAGACTTTAGACTGTCCCTCCCTCCATGCCATCATACCTTGACGGACAGGTCAGGAGATCACTGGTGTTTCATGCCTGTCACAAACCCACCAACATTTATGTCTTTAGCATGCACTTATTCCCATTGCATGATGGGAATTGTAGTATGAACAGTAAAAGGAAGTGGCGTCAGCGCTTCATCGTTCCCTCCTCACTGTGCCCGGGCATAGCTGCATATGAAAATTAAAAGGGTAACTTACGGTAAAACTATGTTCATTTTTTAAATCTAACCTGATATAACAGGAAAAGACAGAATGGGAGCATTTTGGGACAATCCCGGAGTTCAGCTTTAAACAGGGCAGGATGTCTTGTAGAGGGTGCTCATGGTGTCAGAAACTGATCAATTGCTGATGGTGCAGCGACACCCTGTCCTGTGTTTACCGTCCAGAGAGCTGGCTGCATCCTCGATAGTCTATCAGGCACCACCGCTCACTGCTGCACCTTCACATACGGCTACAGTTCTGTTCATTTGCATGAAGGCTCTTTCCCTGCTACCTGGGACCCAAAACGGCAACTTTTAGAGTCCCTAAATGATGTGACCTGTGAGGTAGGAGTATACGATGTAGAAGACACGCAGATCTCTTGATGTGGAAATCTGTGCAAAATAGGTAAAAATGTACATATATAATGCAGTCTGTCACGTTACATTAACCCCTTTGTGTCCATCCTCCATCTCCATGCCCTTTCAAGAACACATGACACCGGAAGCATTACAGGGGCTTTCCTGTTCATGTAATCACTGTGATTGGCTGGTCCAGTGATCAAATGAAGAGGAGCCCAATATTATGTCTCCTGATCATCAACAGTAACCGTGAGTTCTTGGTGACAGTGCAGTCACAGTTCTCCCAACACAAAACAGCACAGCTAGCTCTATGTATATATGTGGAATCGCAGAAAAAAGCCCACCGAAATGCCAACAACCGGTGTAAAGGGGTGACACCAGTTTTTGTTGTCCTGAGCAGGGGCAGACTGACCATTTGGAAACTTGGGCACTGCCCGAGGGCCCAGGGTCAGTAGGGGGCCCCATGAGATGCCCCTGGTACCTTTTTCATAGGCTTTTTTGAGTTTGGACAAGGACACAGGGGCCCCATGATGCCCTCTTGCCCGGGGGCCCCTTGAGTTGTCAGTCCGCCCCTGGTCCTGAGTCCACCTGTAGCATAGTTTTATTATCTGTTGATCCTGCCAGTAGTTCAGTTATTTTTTTTCTTTTCTTTAGCAGGGTGACAAGGTTGTTCATTCACACAGCAGTGTTGTCAGGGGAGTCTTACATGGCCTTTAAGTGAGAGAAAAATTAAAAAAAATTAAAGCTTTTTAAGTTATTTATCGTTTAACAATATGAATAAAAGTTGTTGTAAGCACCCCTGTCAGTGTTATATGGTGTATCTCTGTAACTGACACGTAGACTGGACAGCTTGGCCCTTTAAAAGGAATTCAAAAACTATGGATCTACTGGCAGGATCAACAGGCAGTGAAACAAAAACGGCAATGATCGTGACAGGCTGCATCATATAGGTCATTCTTTATTTTATCCAGAGTTCCAAGAACATTGAGAGGAGCACATCTGCCTTTTGGTTGATACATTTCACTAAATATCATGTGCAGTGAGTGGGCCCACCTAGGATGAGTCTCGTATGAGATGGGTGGTCCAATGGTGGACTTATCTGTACAGAAACCTCCAGTGGTGGACTTATCTGTACAGAGATGTCCAATGGTGGACTTATCTGTACAGAGACGTCCAATGGTGGACTTATCTGTACAGAGACGTCCAATGGTGGACTTATCTGTACAGAGACGTCCAATGGTGGACTTATCTGTACAGAGACGTCCAATGGTGGACTTATCTGTACAGAGACGTCCAATGGTAGACTTATCTGTACAGAGACGTCCAATGGTAGACATATCTGTGCAGAGACCTCCAATGGTGGTCTTATCTGTGCAGAGACGTCCAATGGTGGTCTTATCTGTACAGAGACGTCCAATGGTGGACTTATCTGTGCAGAGACGTCCAATGGTGGACTTATCTGTGCAGAGACGTCCAATGGTGGACTTATCTGTGCAGAGACGTCCAATGGTGGACTTATCTGTACAGAGGCCTCCAATGGTGGACTTATCTGTACAGAGGCCTCCAATGGTGGACTTATCTGTACAGAGGCCTCCAATGGTGGACTTATCTGTACAGAGGGCCTCCAATGGTGGACTTATCTGTACAGAGGCCTCCAATGGTGGACTTATCTGTAGAGAGCCTCCAATGGTGGACTTATCTGTAGAGAGGCCTCCAATGTTGGACTTATCTGAACAGAGGCCTCCAATGTGGACTTATCTGAACAGAGGCCTCCAATGGTGGACTTATCTGTACAGAGGCCTCCAATGGTGGACTTATCTGTACAGAGATGTCCAATGGTGGACTTATCTGTACAGAGACGTCCAGTGGTGGACTTATCTGTGCAGAGACGTCCAATGGTGGACTTATCTGTGCAGAGACGTCCAATGGTGGACTTATCTGTGCAGAAACGGCCTCCAATGGTAGACTTATCTGTGCAGAGACCTCCAATGGTGGACTTCTCTGTACAGAGACGTCCAATGGTGGACTTATCTGTACAGAGGCCTCCAATGGTGGACATATCTGTACAGAGGCCTCCAATGGTAGACTTATCTGTGCACAGTCCTCCGATGGTGGACTTATCTGTGCGAGACCTACGATGGTGGATTTATCTGCACAGGCATCTCCAATGGCAGATTTATCTGAGCAAGTGCCTCTGATCAAATTAATCAAGGGATAGGCAACATTGGTCAGGTGAGAATTGTATCATATGTTGGATGGTAGAATTATGTTGTCAGGGTGCCAGCTCATTTCTATGGCTTTCTTGACTCTGTGGGTCCAAGCAAAGAAACATGAAGAACCACGGCCGTAGCGGTCAGTTCCTAGCCGGTCCTGCAATGCAGCGTGTTTCAGAAAGGCAAGTTTGGGGTGCTGACATGGCACGCTTAGTCCATGTCAGATACACATTTCAGTCGGGACACGTATGGACAGATCACAGAAGCCGTGTGCTCACCTCCAGGATTGCTGCGTCCCGTTAGTGTACCCGTCCAATGGACGCATGTAGCCACACCCCCTTTGTTTATAAGACATTTCTGGTCTAAATAATTTCTATGATGAAACGTTAGAATTTAAAGACCAACTCCATCCTTAAGAACCATGACCTCAAAATGACAGCCAGTGCATGGCGGACTTCCTGTCCTGTCACCCCATAGAGGAAAGCTGTGCCGTCTGATTATAAATGTCTCATTTCCTGCCCTCATATGAGGACTTATGGATTCAGGAGCTGTGAATAATTTTAGCAACCCTTATGCTTCATTCATAGAACGTCATCTACTGGATTGGGCTTGGAATGGTCCTAAACTGATTGTTTTCAGCTTTGGGTAGGTTTTAGTAGGCCAAATCCCTTCAAGCTTCTTATATCTCTTAGAGACTTGAACAAATACATTTCCCCACAGCAGTTTGTCTCTGCCTCTCCCACAATGGTGAGGTTCCCCACAAGAGTTTGTGTTCTGTGATTTCCCTCTGTTTGTATCTATGCCCCTCCCACAATGGTGAGATTTCCCTGCACCTGTTTGTATCTATGCCCCTCCCACATTGGTGAGATTTCCCCGCAGCACCTTTAGCCGCCCCTCCCACAGCAGCTTGTGTCTCTGCCCCTCCCACAATACTGAGATTTCCCTGCACCGGTTTGTATAATGCCCCTCCCACATTGGTGAGATTTCCCCGCAGCAGCTTGTACCTGCCCCTCCCACAACAGTTTGTGTCTCTGCCCTTGCCACAGTGGTGAGATTTCCCTGCAGCACTTTGTGTCTTTGCCCATTTCACAATGCTTCCCACAAGAGTTTGTCTCTGCCCCTCCCACAATGACATTTCCCACAATAGTTTGTGTCTCTGCCCCTCCCACAATGATGACATTTCCCCACAATAGTTTGTGTCTCTGCCCCTCCCACAATGATGACATTTCCCCACAATAGTTTGTGTCTCTGCCCCTCCCACAATGACATTTCCCACAATAGTTTTGTGTCTCTGCCCCTCCCACAATGGTGAGATTTCCCTGCAGCACTTTGTGTCTCCGCCCTCCCATAATGGTGAGATTTTCCTGCAACAGTGTGTGTCTCTGCTCCTCCCCATGATGGTGAGATTCCCCCCCCCCCTCCATGTTCTCTGCCCCTCCCACAATGGTAAGATTTCCCCCCCCATGTTATCTGCCCCTCCCACAATGATGAGATTTCCCCCCCCCATGTTTTCTGCCCCTCCCACAATGGTGAGATTACCCCCCTCTCCATGTTCTCTGCCCCTCTCACAATGATGAGATTCCCCCCTCTCCATGTTCTCTGCCCCTCTCACAATGATGAGATTCCCCCCTCTCCATGTTCTCTGCCCCTCCCACAGTGATGAGATTCCCCACAGCATTTGTGTCTCTGCCCCTCCCACAATGGTGAGAGTTCCCCGCAACAGTGTGTGTCTCTGCCCCTGCCACAGCAGTTTGTGCCTCTGCTCCTCCCCACAATGGTAAGATTCCCCCCCCATGTACTCTGCCCCTCCTACAATGGGAAGATCCCCCCATGTTCTCTGCCCCTCCCACAATGGTGAGATTCCCCCCATTCTCCCCCATGTTCTCTGCCCCTCCCACAATGGTGTGATTCCCCCCATGTTCTCTGCCCCTCCCACAATGGTGAGATTCCCCCCATGTTCTCTGCCCCTCCCACAATGGTGAGATTTCCCCCCCATGTTTTCTGCCCCTCCCACAATGGTGAGATTCCCCCCCCCCCCCCCATGTTCTCTGCACCTCCCACATTGGTGAGATTCCCCATAGCACTTTGTGTGCCTGCCCTTCCCAGTCCATAATGAAGATGTCACCTTCTCACAAACAGTTCATTCGGTGTCATGAGGGATGAAAACAGGAATTCCGGTGGGGAGATCTGACTGCTGGAGTTCCCTGGACATATAAGAAGCCAACATTTCATTGACCTTACCATACATATGGGTCTCAGGTGGAGTTGGCCTTTAATTCTTCATTTCCACCCCCGGTATACTTCAAAGCCCCGTTCGGGCCGTCCGATATCTTTCACAATCGCTGTGTCGATCCCGAGCTCGGTTGTACCTGTCTGTTGTCGTTGCGATATTTTCTAACCGATCGTCCAGCATGTCGGTGTCAGACGTTTAATCGTCGCGCTCTCTCTGTTCCAGTCCAGCCGGCCTTGTGTTCTCTTTTTGTTTCCTTTGCGCAGCCTGGTAGACCTGTCACTTTTAAATATTCAACTAGATATATATATATATATGTATACGTCTGTCTGTAGAATGTTCCAGATCACAGGTTCAGCTTTTTGGGGGATCTCCCACCTTCATACGATGCAGCGGTTTGGCAGACTGCGGCACGCGTTCTCCAATCGGCTGAGCCGTGGCGCGGTCTCGAATCGGCTGAGCCGTGGCGTGGTCTCGAATCGGCTGAGCCGTGGTGCGGTCTCGAATCGGCTGAGCCGTGGAGTGGTCTCGAATCGGCTGAGCCGTAGCGCGGTCTCGAATCGGCTGAGCCGTGGCATGGTCTCCAATCGGCTGAGCCGTGGCGCGGTCTCCAATCGGCTGAGCCGTGGCATGGTCTCCAATCGGCTGAGCCGTGGCGCGGTCTCCAATCGGCTGAGCCGTGGCTCGGCATGGTCGTGGCGCGGTCTCCAATCGGCTGAGCCGTGGCGCGGTCTCCAATCGGCTGAGCGCGTCTGGAATCGGCTGAGCCGTGGCATGGTCTCCAATCGGCTGAGCCGTGAGCGGTCTCCAATCGGCTGAGCCGTGGCATGGTCTCCAATCGGCTGAGCCTCGGTCTCTAATCGGCTGAGCCGTGGCGCGGTCTCCAATCGGCTGAGCCGTGGCGCGGTCTCCAATCGGCTGAGCCGTGGCGCGGTCTCCAATCGGCTGAGCCGTGGCGCGGTCTCCAATCGGCTGAGCCGTGGCGCGGTCTCCAATCGGCTGAGCCGTGGTCGGTCTCCAATCGGCTGAGCCGTGGCGCGGTCTCCAATCGGCTGAGCCGTGGCGCGGTCTCCAATCAGCTGAGCCGTGGCTCGGTCTGCAGAGTTTGCTGCGACATTTGTATGCGACGGGTCCTCTTATCACCGGGCTTCATACTGAGCAGGAGTGCCGATGCGACTCGCACGCTGGGGCGTTTCTTCTCCTTCACCAGGAGTTTGTAAACGCACTAAAGAAAACGATTGGCTACATTTCATACTGAGGTATGGGGCTGACGTGTGTTTATTAGTAACTGTGTGTCCAGCCAAAACTTTCTTTTTTTTTTGTTTTCAATCTGCATATACTTTACTTTTGGTTCATCACAACCTCCCTCATCGATATGCTGATGATATTTTTTAATAAAACCCTTCTATTTGTAATACATCCCATATTTTAGACTGACTGATGTCATCACTGCGTCTCTGTGCTTCTCTATACAATGCAGGCAGATCGTGATTGGTGGAAGGGGCTGGCAGGGTGCTGGACTGAAAACATCTCAGCACCCTGCTTCAGTGCTCCTCTCAAGGGCCCCCCAGGCCTGATGCAAGCAGTGGAAGGTGTTATCTATCTATTCAGTCGTATCCGACCCGTATGGACTGTCACTCGTAAGCGACTTTTTTCCATGAATTCTCTTAGCAATTATTTTACAGGATAGGTTGCCAGGTCTTTCCCCAACCCCCACCATGCAGGAGATCCCACATGGCCAGGGATTAAACTAGGACAATTAACCTACCAGCATGTCTTTGGAGTGTGGGAGGAAACCGGAGTACCCGGAGGAAACCTACGCGAACACGCAAACTCCATGCAGGAGGCGCCATGGTTGGGAATTGAACCCATCACCCAATTACTGCAAGGCTAACCACTAAGCCACTGTGCCGCCCAGGGAGGTGTTATGCAATTATCTAAATACCTTGGAGGGTGGGTGTCAAGTCTGGAGGAGTGGGCGTTCCTAAGCGAGTTGTATTTGCACACAGCTATCCCTAGGTGGCACCCCTACGCAGGGGAAACCGCAGCGCACTTTTGCACGCATCAAAGCACCTGGTGTCGCAGAACCGTGCGGTTTGGTGTGGCTTGATTTTATAAAACCGCCCGGGGAGTTCTTTCGCCTTTGAAATGAATGGGCTGCCCTACATGCAGAATGCAGCTGCACAGATGTAAATGGATTCAGGCTCCGTTCACGCCGCTGTGACCCCCAAAATCGCTTCCATTGCAGCTTTGCATTGTGATTTGACGCGACTTCGATGTTTTGCGACTTCAGCCCTGAAGTTGCAGCCAAAGATACTACAACCTTGTGACTTTTGTGATTGTAACCTCCCTAGCGGTCTGATTATGTCAGTATTTCTGTGCTCAAAGCGGTACTTTTTTTGCATGGAAATATGTATTTTTATTATTGTAGGCCTGTCATTTTTAGGAATAACTCCCTGAAATCTGTCCGAACAAGAGTCTAGTAAACATCCCGGGGAGGATAAAACTTGAAACACGAAATCATAAATTATAATTTAATAAATAATCATAAAAAAAATAATAATATAATTATAATAAATTTATTTCAATAATATAATCAAACCAAAAACACTGAAATGTGAAATAGAGCGCCAAGTTCGCACATCGCTGAGCAAAGTCGCAGAATCGTTTTCAGTGTCTGATGATGAATTTCCCCCACCAATCATTATCACCCAATTCTGCAAGTGGTTCTGATTTACTATCGCTGTTCTCTAGCCGCTCTAAAACCGCGTCTGACCTAAAGGGACGCTTTTTGGACGCCATGGACGTTTCTCAGTTTCCAGGCAGAAAGAACAGTAAAAATGCAGGCAGGGCGCCGGACAAAGCACTCGGGACAAAATGTATGTGAAATGGTTTGATACAGGAATGTTTGTTTTAGTGAATGTCGCTTTTTACAACTTTCAAATGTCCCGCCAGTTCCATCCCCCGTACGTCCCGACGTCGCAGGGAACGGAACCCGAAGACAGATGTCGGCATCGGCTGGAGGTTATTACAGGGGACACTGCAGGAGGGACATCGCGGGAGCGCAGGACAAGGTAAGTGAAGAAGGGATCCTAAGCCTAAGGACTGGTAAGCTGCAACATAACACATTTTTGGTTTTGGGTTTAGTAACATTTTAGGGGTTATTTCCTAAAACTGGAGGGTGCAAATTCTGCTGCAGCTGTGCATAGACACCAAGAAGCTTCCAGGTGTTATTGTCTAAACTTAAAATGTTACTAAACCCTTTGAGAGGGAGCATGTGATCAGCGCAGGGCCAATCAGCACTGTCCGGACAGAGGGTCAGGGGTTATGCAGCCTCATAGGACAGTCAGAGGAGAATGAAAACTCCTCCTACAAGCTTTAACCAGTGCTCTGCTGGACACTGACAGAAGTCACAAGACTGCTATATACTGCTGATGAGAAAAGGTATTTAGCAATTTATATTTACTAAAATAATTCCATTTCTCTGTACTGTGGGAGACCGGATATATTGAATGCGGGGTCCGGGGAGACCAGATATAGCGAATGCAGGCTCCGGGGAGAGCGGATATAATAATTGCAAGGTCCGGGGGGAGAGCGGATATAGTGAATGCAGGGTCCGGGGAGACCGGATATAGTGAATGCGGGGTCCTGGGAGACCGGATATAGTGAATGGGGGGTCCGGGGGGAGACCGGATATAGTGAATGCAGGGTCCGGGGAGACCGGATATAGTGAATGCGGGGTCCGGGGAGACCAGATATAGTGAATGGGGGGTCCCGGGGAGACCGGATATAGTGAATGCAGGGTCCGGGGAGACCGGATATAGTGAATGCGGGGTCCGGGGAGACCGGGGAGAGCGGATATAGTGAATGCAGGGTCCGGGGAGACCGGATATAGTGAATGGGGGTCCGGGGGGACCGGGGAGAGGATATAGTGAATGCAGGGTCCGGGGAGCGGATATAGTGAATGCAGGGTCCGGGGAGACCGGATATAGTGAATGCAGGGTCCGGGGAGAGCGGATATAGTGAATGCAGGGTCCGGGGAGAGCGGATATAGTGAATGCAGGGTCCGGGGAGAGCGGATATAGTGAATGCGGGGTCCGGGGGAGACCAGATATAGTGATTGCGGGGTCCGGGGAGAGCGGATATAGTGAATGCAGGGTCCGGGGAGACCGGATATAGTGAATGCAGGGTCCGGGGAGAGCAGATATAGTGAATGCAGGGTCCGGGGAGACCAGATATAGTGAATGCAGGGTCCAGGGTTTAGTAACACTTTAATTGAACAAGCTGACGATAGAAGCTGAACCCCCCTCTGCACATGCTCACCTTTGCTTTAACTCCCCCATCATTGTGTTCATCCTCCAGAAAAAAAGAAAGTGGTTTTGTGTGAGCTCCAGGTCATTCTAATCAGAGCTTACACAAGGCTGAGGACTCACCCCATGTGATAGTAGTAGGCCAATCACAAAGCTCCAATGCTGTCACATGGAGAAAGTCAAGTACCAGAGATTTGTTTTGCTCCAGGAATCGGGGAGGAGCACAGGGTAGGTGAGTATGTGCTGCCTGGGATGGGGTTTGGTGGAATTAAGGCGCTACCTGGGCAAAGCCATGATTTGCATGGGGGGGGGGGGGTCATACAGCCCCTGTGAAAAATCCTCCCCTGGGAGCCACAGCTGCAGCATCCATAGACATCAATTGCAGGATGCGGCTGTATGCAGGCACACCAACACTTGCGCACGGTTGTTGTTCATCCATGTACATGTTATGTACCAGTATAAGAAGCATAAATCATTGTCTGTACAAAAACCTCACTAAATGTATGAGAAAAAAAAAAAAAAAACAGTGCCCCAGCGTGCGAGTCTCTTCAATTCCATCTTCAGTCCTTTTCGGTAGAATTTTGGAGAGGGAAAGATTTTCTTCCCCTTGTTGTCTGTGAGATTGCTCCCCCCCCCCTCACTTCCTGTCCTGGTGACAACCGTCAGGAAGTGAAAGGAAATCTCACCTGTGGGGACACAGAAAAAAGAAATCAGTTTGGCTGGAGTTTTGCTTAAATATGACAGCGCACAACCCCCCCCCCCCCCCCCCCCCCCCCCCGCAATAACAAAATTTTACTGAACTTGTGAGGTTCTCGGCAATTTGCTCTGACTTGTTATAGAACAGCCCGTCCTCCGCTTCCGATCCATCGCAAAACTTCCGCAGTCCCTTGTTACAGGGAGAGTGTGGGGGGGGGGGGCAATCAGCGCCTCCCCCACATGGCGTTTCTGTTATTACCGTAAAACCGCGTCTGAAACTTTTCGATTTTAGAGACCAGCTCCTCCCTACCCTGCGCTCCTCACTGCCGCCCCTTACCCCCTGCTCATCGCTGGTTTCAGGAATCCCAGGAACGGAGGAAAATGTGAATTTTTATGAGATAAATTGTGTTTTATATGTACAGCTTTCTGAGAAATCATTGAATTGTGGATGTACTTCTGATTCAAGGAAAAAATCTAAATATATATATATATATATATATATATATATATATATATATAAAATTGCAGAAGAGATTTTTGTTTTGTTTGAGATGAATTTGAGTCTACCTGTACCGCCGTCTTGTTCAATCTTTTTGTTTTTTGAGTGTTTATTTAAATGTTTGACTTTTTTTTTTGTTTTATCTTTTTTTTTTTTTTTTTTTTAATTTATTTCCAACAATGCAAATGATCTGCAATTCATTGGTGCCATTTCCAATCCATATCATTGCCGTACTCAACAATGCAAATAAAGAGTTTATTCTGGGATGTTATACAGCACGAGATTAAAAGAGAAAAAAAAAAAACTTCTCACATAACAACGCGTGTTTCAGCCGGTGTGTTTGTTCCAGGCGAAGGAAAGTATTTAAAGTCGTGTTAAACCCAAAAGCAAATATTAGTTTTCTTTTTTTTTAAGGCTTTCTTTTATTTTAATCTGGTAATCCTGCCAGTAAGTCTGTTGTTTTTTCAGCAGAACAAGCTCTCCTGCAGTTACAGCGATAGAGCAAACCATTTAACACTGACAGGGGTGCTTATAATGATCAGTTTTTATGATCAGTTTGTTGGGTAAGGTATGTCTTTTTGCTGATGACACAAAGGTGTGTAATAGGGTTGATATCCCTAGAGGTGCCTGTAACGGGGAACATGATTTGCATTGCTGGAAGATTGGTCAAAAAAGTGGAAATTGCAGTTCAATGTTTCTAAATGTAAAATAATGCACCTAGGGAAAAAGAATCCCTCGGGAGAGTACAACATTGGGGGTACAGTGTTAGTCAGCACTACAGAGGAAAAGGACTTGGGGGTACTTATGTCAGATGGTTGAAAAATGAGAAAGCAGTGTGACCAGACAGTGGGGGAAGTGAATAGGATTCTAGGATGTATCACTAGAGGGGTCACCGGCAGGAGGAGGAGGTCCTGATTCCTGTATATAGATCTATATATCACTAGAGGGGTCACCAGCAGGAGGAAGGAGGTCCCTGATTCCTTTATATAGATCTTTATATCACTAGAGGGGTCACCAGCAGGAGGAAGGAGGTCCCGATTCCTCTATATAGATCTTTATATCACTAGAGGGGTCACCGGCAGGAGGAAGGAGGTCCGATTCCTCTATATAGATCTTTATATCACTAGAGGGGTCACCGGCAGGAGGAAGGAGGTCCTGATTCCTCTATGTAGATCTTTATATCACTAGAGGGTCACAGCAGGAGGAAGGAGTCCCGATTCCCCTATATAGATCTCCTTATCACTAGAGGGGTAGGAGGTCCCGATTTATAGATCTTTATATCACTAGAGGGGTCACCAACAGGAGGAAGGAGGTCCTGATTCCTCTACTCCTTATATCACTAGAGGGGTCACCAGCGGGAGGAAGGAGGTCCTGATTCCTCTACATAGATCCTTATATCACTAGAGGGGTCACCGACAGGAGGAAGGAGGTCCTGATTCCTCTATATAGATCTTTAGTTACACCTCATCTAGAATACTATGACCAGTTCTCGAGAAGTCACTTACAAAAAGATATTGATAAGATAGATCGAGTCCACAGATGGGTAACAAAAATGGGGAAAGGTCTGGAGGATAAAACATCAGGAGCGACTTCAGGAACTTAACATGTCCAGTCTGGAGGAAAGACAGGAAAGGACATTTTTTGGTTTTGGGTTTAATATTGCTTTAAATCAGAAATCCAGGTCTGGATATTGTTACATGGTTACATTGACCCATCCTGGACCATCTATGAATATACAATACCAGTCCGATGCACCCGGAAGCTGGAAATCACTCAAGTAGACACTGCTACTACACTGCTACTACACACTACTACTACACTACTACTACAGCGATCTCCACTAGCTTCTGTGTCCTGTGCTGAGCAGCTGCCCTGCTTCATTGTGGACTCAAAAGGGCGCCACTTGACATGGGCACTGTTCAGAAAATTATTTGCATGCTCTCATTGAATGCAAATCATTCTCTGATTGGATGAGTTGGAGAGTGTGATGTCACCGCCACACCTCATCCAATCAGAGAACGCTTTGCTTTCATTCAGGAAATAAAAAATAATTTTCTAAATGGTGCCTGTGCCAAGCAGCCACCCTTCTAGGTTCACAATGCAGCAGGGAAGCCAATCGGCATGGGACATGGAAGCTAGTGGAGATGACTGGAGCAGCGGTGTCTACTTCACTGATTTCCAGCCTCCAGGGGCATCGGCCAGGTATGATAGCTACATTGATACAAGCTGGAACAATGTAACTGTATAAAATACCTGGGAAGTATGACTAAAGGCTCCTGTAGGACAGTCTATATCAATCCCGAACAGGGGCGGGCTGACAACTCATGGGGCCCCCGGGCAATAGGGGATCATGGGGCCCCTGTGTCCTTGCCCAAACTCAAAAAAGCCTATGAAAAAGGTACCAGGGGCATCTCATGGGGCCCCCTACTGACCCCGGGCCCTCGGGCAGTGCCCGAGTTTCCAAATGGTCAGTCCGCCCCTGATCCCGAATCCAATTACCAACACAATACTTCCTTTACTTTCCCTTACTGACCCAAATCCTCCCAACCAGCCCATGTGAGATAAGGAAACGAAGTGGCCTCGGCTCCATGACTAAGCACAGGTGAGTGGGGTGAAATGCGTCAGAGGTTTGTGGTTTGCGGAGGGGTGACAGCTGGGGCCACTTATTATTCTCATCTACCATGGGCCGGTCAGGAGATCTGTGTCCTCATCACTTGAATGCTTGACATGGAGTTAGTCTGGACGCCGGCACCCGTGTTCCTGGAGACCAAAGGGAAAGTATCTCTATTCCCGCTTCAGAGCGGCACTCCAAGTTTTTTCTTTTCAGGTCACGATGAGCCAGATCCTCTGTAATTGGTGTCTCACACACTCCCCCTCCCAGACTCTGCAAATTACAGTGGAAGGTTCCAGTAACAGAGGCAGTGCTGTCAATCAAGAAAGCTAGGTGCTACCGGGTGCTGATTGACAGGCAATGCTGAGAATCATTCCCCCCGCAACGTCTCATCCGGGTAGTAGCGCTGAGCTGCGGAGGGGGCAGGAGAAGCTGGCTCAGGCTCTCCGCGGATCACTGAGACCAGGTGCCGGTCCAGGCTTCTCGGTGGATCCCGACCTTAAGGTTGGGTTCTTTCCCCAGCCTGGAACGGCTGAGTTATGTCAGCTGAGAGCAGCTGAAAATGGGTCGCGGGGCGTGCAGAACGAACTGCACTCCAATGATCCACAGAAGTACAGTCAAACAAGCTTTGGCTGTACGTCTCCTTTAAGAACTGTTGGTTAAACATCAAATGCTGGCTAATTGTTGTAGTGAGAGGAGCAAACAATCAACAAAATCTATCCAGTAGCTGTATACCCAATCCCTAAACTCTCATTTTGACTTTAGTATGTAAATGTTGCTACAAAATTCATTTTTTATTATAGGTTTCTTTTTCTACTTAAAATAGGTCTTTGGGCCAAGCTGGCTGGTCGAGACCTTCTTCAGGGAAATTAGCCGGAGCAGGCCAAGCTGGCTGGTCGAGACCTTCTTCAGGGGATTTAGCCAGTGCAGGCCAAGCTGGCTGGTCGAGACCTTCAGGGATTTAGCCGGTGCAGGCCAAGCTGGC